TCTTGTTGAACTCTTTCCAAACTTTTTTCCAGGAGAATGCAGTCCCTCAGTCAACCTACAAACCTCCTCCAGTGGTGCCCAAAGAGACGGTGGGAACAGGTGCAAACAAGTTCCTTTACTATGTCTGCAAAGAGCCAGGTCTTCCATGGATAAAACTTCCATCTGTCACTCCCGCACAAATCGACGTTTCTCGTCAGATTCGTAAATTATTCACAGGAAGGCTTGAAGCCCCGGTAAAGAGTTACCCTCCTTTTCCCGGGAATGAAGCCAACTATCTGAGAGCGCAGATTGCTCGGATCTCTGCTGGGACACATGTCAGCCCCCAGGGATTTTTTCTCATTATGGAGGAGGAAGATGATGAGGAAGGTGAGCCACTTCAGGATAGCTATGATGTAAATCCAGACTTTGAGGGCATTCCAGTTTCTGAGATGGCAGAGTCTTTGTCCACCTGGGTGCATCATGTTCAGCACATCCTGCCACAGGTGAGCACACGTGAACTCTGTAGGCTGCAGGAGCCTTCTCGTCGTCTCATGAATGGGTTCTGGTTCACCATGTGAATCTGAATATTTTAGGGTCGCTGTACTTGGCTGAATCTGTCTATGAAACCAAGTGAAGACATAGACGAGGACGAAGACATGGAAGAAGCAGAAGAGGAGCCAGATGAGCCTGAGCCAGAGGTTGGACCTCCTCTGCTTACTCCATTAAGTCAAGATGCCGGTCAGTATTTGGACTTTTTCTTACATTCCTGGATGAACTGATGCATTATTACCTGAATTAGTAGTTGATTAATGATCCGATACGTTTTTTTTCTCTCTGAACAACAACATTTGAATTTGGATGTAGGTGTACAATTTTTTTACTGATTCTGTTCATCAGATGTCATGATCCAGAGCAGTGGTCCCCAAAACTGAGTGTGTCCTCCTAAAGATGACGTGGAGGTTTTGAGGTTGCTTTCAGATAACCTTAATTTACATGTTTTCTTCATTTGTTCCACGATAGCAAGAAAAATGGTTTTGTTTGAATTAGTCTTTAAAAATTCTGTGGAATTTTGAATCAAACGCTGTGGATGTAGAGGGGCTTAACAATAGTCCTCCTACAATAGGGGGTGCTGCAGGACAGATTGGGTAAAACTGCTCTTTAGTATTCAGGAAAGTCTGCATCCTCTACAGTCCTGTCTTTCTTGCAAGCTCTTGTTTGAGAACCTTCATAATGATTTAGTTGGTAATCCCTGCAGCAGAAATCCACTTTTATTTGCCTTTTAATTTTAACTTTGAATTGTCTCACAGAATTGTTCAACACTCCTCCCTGGACCTCCAAGATGTCCTCCACCCTCACCTCCGTGCATGCTATAGCTGTGTTGCGCTCAAACCTCTGGCAAGGAGGACATGCGTATGCCAGTGGAAAGTAATGGAGAATAATCTGATATACTATACTTTATTCTAATGACAACACTTTAGTTCTGAATATATAATATAAACAGTGTTATCCTGTGCCATCTTTTATTGTAGGAAGTTTGAGAACATATATGTTGGATGGGGGTTGAAGACCGCTGGAGACGGCTTCAGCCCGTCTGTCCCTCCAACGCCACTGAAAGAATATGTTGGAGATGAAGAGATCACAGAAGTTCCAGACCCAACACCCAGGGATGAGAGGGAACTGGCAGAAGCTCTGGTGGCCGCGCAGGAGGAGATGGAGGGATCAGATCGGGAGGACGAATCTGATGACGACTATTAAACTGGACTCTTAGGATCCCTCAGAAGAATACTTTAACTGTCTACCTATGATGACACAACCCAGGAGTGAACCCTGGTGTGTAGAGTAGCCTGGATTAGACACATCAAACACTGACTTCTTCCCTGATGACCACAAGTTTCTCTTGTAGCAACTTCAGCAAACATCAGGCTTCAACCACTGGCTCCTCCATCTTCATCAAACTGGGTATTTATTGGATTTGCATGATAGAGAATATGCTTGCAAAAACACACCGAACAGCTCCAACACAGTTGCACCCCCGGGCAGAAACAATGACGTGATCAGCTGAGCTCCCATGCATGCTGACTAACAGAGAAGCTCCACTGATCACCTGGACTATGCTGGGGAATGACTGTTCCTCCAGTGATACTGTGACCACCCTCATCTGAAGCTCCTGGGCCAGAGCCAGTATTAGCTCTGCTTCATTGAGTATTAGCCTTGTTGTTGAACGGCTGAAGACAACGGCGTAATCATCGTATTTCTCCTTTTCCTTTTCACGTTCTACACTTCCACCATCTTTCTCTGCCTCCTCTGCCCTAGTTATGTTCATTTTTTCCATTAGCACCCTCGCAAACTGCTGAATTGCATTCCCTGAGACCAAAATGTTGGCTTTAGGCCCTTGCGGTTGCACAAACCCATACTGGTACCATGTGGTCATCTCCGACAGACCAATACAAGATTTGGTGAAACACATTAGCTTGCCAAAGTTCCTGAGCTGTTCCTTAAGCAGTGGCTGCTTGCTGCTGAGAAGCTTATAGAGGTCAAAGTGTGGTCCTTCCCCCCAGCCCTCCATGAACCCTAGCCGAGCCTCATCATCCAAGTCTGAATACTGTTTCATGGTGTAGAAGATTGGGAGGCGGTCATCATGGAATACATGCATCAAGTTGTCAGGGTTAAACCGGTTTAGGATCAGTGTCACGTCTGGTACAAAGACAGGCTTGGGCATGAATTTTAAAGCTGCAGCTGGGAGTTCCAAAAAGTTAAAGTACTGAGTGTTGTGATCCTCAACTGATGACAAGTCCAGAAGGGCAGGCTGGAAGCGTCGCGACCCCAGGTTAGGTAACATGACGGAGGAATTGGAGTGGAAAAATATAAACTCGTCTGCCTCTGAGCAGTAGCACAGGTAGTCGAAGCGACAGATGCGGTCAGTGTGCATTTTGCCAGTGCAGACCATGTTGGTTATTCATTAGTCTGCTGCACACAAAAGTCAAACATGTTTTAAGACATTTTTAGCGCCCAGTCAATGTAGAATTGCTAACAATATGCAAAGCATTTATTTTATTTGTTTTGTGTGTTTCACAGTTGTTGTTTTTTACAGTTGCCGCCATTTTTGCTGCTATCAGGTAACACTTTGGAAGGATGAGATTTAATCAAGCATCAACCTTCTCATTGCTCAAAAACTGATATTTATTTTAATTTTGGGACAAACTTGTCAAAACTTCTATTAGGAATAGACTTAAAGTCAATTAACCCCAAATACAAGCACCAACAAGCAATGACCTGGAAGATGATGCAAGTCAGTAGTGCCAGCTACAAGACATTTTTGTCAACTGGAATTTACACATACATTTGGATAATTGCGATTAAAAAAAACCCATTTGTGCTCGATAAACACTTGATGATGATTATTCCGATGCTTGTAAAATCATACTTTGCATAAAACACACTATTTTACTAAACAAAAAAAATTATGAACCATTTAGTGGAGACTTACTTTTTGATTATGGTTCAATCATAATTACCGTAATTTCCCGATTTTTGAGAGCACCTGAATATAAGCGGCACCCACTAAAATTAAAAAGAAAACTGTACATATATAGGCTGCACTCCTCTATAAGCTGCAGGTGTCCACATTGTAAAATGGGATATTTGCATAGTTGTTTTTTTTTACTTTTAATTAAATAAATTAATTTGAACAGTGTCTGGTTACACGTTAGCTCTTTCCTGCTTTGGCGCCCCGACCGTAGTTGGAATGCACAGGGGAGGGTTAGCTTCCGCTCCAGAGCTGAAGCTAACATTAGCTCTGGGGCTAACTCCCCTTCACTTTGTGCTTGAAGGCAGAGGTAAACAGAGACAGGGAAGATGGGGTCTTTATTATCAGCTACTCCAATCACAACAGTACATAAACAGCGTTTTATCAGCTCCTGAATAACTAACTCACGCTTTAACATGACAGGGCTCAAACTAAGGTGACTACCTCTAAACCGACGTTTTGTTTTGGGTTTTTTGCACGTATCTCCCCTTTTGCCCTAACAAAACAAACCAAACTCTATTGTACCCAAAACATAACCAAAACCACACTTAACATAAAATAAGCAGATATGGCGCAACAAAATATGACCTCATATAAAATTAAACATTTTTAGTGTAAATAGGTCTCTATAAAACCAACAATTCCTGTTGATTATATGGCCATCTGGGACGAAAAACATGAAAATAAAAAATAGACACCAAACAGATTTGGCATCATAATCCAGCAGGTGGCAGGCCATCAGGTTTCTGAAACACATTGGTGTCATAAAAGCAACCAGATGTTAAAAACTAGGCTATAACAATATGGAATGGCTGAACATATATTCTGCATCGTTGTAGAACTCTACAACTATGTGTGGCCCTTGACTTGAATCTCTCTTGAGAGATTGTAGTTCCGTTTGAGATTCTCTGCAGTCGGTTGACCGATATGAATGAACTTCTACTGCAGTAATTTGATCCAACTCAGTGTCATTTGGTTTGCATAAAAAATACTACACACTTTTGGATGTTGTGTGCTTGTTGTGTAAAACTCAAGTGCATCGTGTAGTTTCCATCAGATTCGCTAATATGCCCACAAATTGCAGAATGCTGGTTCAGAATCTCCAGCCACCAGTCTCAGCCAAAAGGTGGCGTCTTCTTTTTTCAGCACACTACACATGGGCGTCTTCACAGTAGTGACGTGCGGTCGGGGGAGACAGTGCCTCACCTTCCATCATGATAAAAAAAAAAAGAAAAAAGTACATAAAATAAATATTAATATTTTCCACTGATCTGTGTTAAAGATGCCTTTTTAGTATGACATTTTTGACATTTTATTAAATAACAATAGCCAAATTTGAGTATTTCGCGATCAAATATAGGGGCAGAAATCCCCAATTCAATACAAGCTGGATCGTTTGACACGTGTCCGTTTCTGTTCCTCAGCATATCGCCAATATATGTTATACAGAATGACTCTCTACAGTCTGTGTAATGTCTTTAATGCATGCGCAGAACTGTTCCTGCTAATCGTACAAGAACGTGCAAAGAAAAGTCAGCAGGGGAGGCAAACAGCACTCTGCCTCACCTCTAGGGGTCGTACGTGAACTGACAGGTGCTCTCCAGCTGGCTTCAACAGGCAACTGAAAGTCAGCGCCAAGCAAGTGGGTGAAGAACAGCGTTTTTATGCTCTGTCTGATCCAACTGCCCATGGATTGTATTTCAAGACTAAAACATTTCTCAAAACTGGACTTCCAATCCAAACAGAAAGTGATAAGTAATGGAAGACTAACGCCGGAGCTAAAAGGTTTGCTTCAAACTAAAGGACAGAACAGTTGTTCTTTTCAAACGAAAGGACTGGCTGTGTGGCTGTCCTGCAAGAAACCGTCTTTACTGCTTTCCTTGCCTTTTATTCTCATCATGTGATAACGTCTGGACTAACTCGGGATACTGTGACCTGAAAAATTTGCAAAAGAAGAATTTGCAAAGAAGCCTCATGAAAGTTCAGCCACATACATTCAAAGCCATATTTCTTTCAAAACTTTTAGAAATTCAAGGCTTAATTTGGCAAACGGACACTAAACATTAGCGTCCACCATAGGTGTGGACTCGAGTCGCACGACTTGGACTCGGGTCAGACTCGAGTCATCAATTTGACGACTTTGGACTCGACTCGACAAAATAGAAAGAGACTTGCAACTTGACTTGGACTTGAACATCAGTGACTCGTGACTTCACTTGGACTCGAGCCCTTTGACTCGACAAGACTTGATACTTTACCCAAAACCCAAAGGTGATAAAGTAAGTTATTAAGGAGCGCTTAATAACCTACTGTGCTGTCGGCACAACATTCAATCAAATTAGACCCACGTTGTTTTGATGTGATAGCATCGAGCCAATCAAATTGCGGGACAACCAATGAGGAAGAGCTGTCAAACGACGCGCGTGAGAGAAAATTACACCAAAGATCGTGACGTTCGGATTTAAAAACTACGAGGTGGTCGACAAAAAACCAAGTGGCAGTGATCTGTGTAAATATATCATTATTTTGTTTGAAAGGACTCGAAACAGAAACGGCAGGACTTGGGACACTTTTCAGTCTTAACTTGGACTCGACTTGGACTTTGCCTTTCTTGACTTGAGACTTGACTCGGACTTGAGTGCAAAGACTTGAGACTTACTTGTGACTTGCAAAGCAATGACTTGGTTCAACCTCTGGCATCCACAATGCTAATGTGACCAAGAGATGCAACCATGGACTTCATATGTGACTTGCAAAGCAATGACTTGGTCCAACCTCTGGCGTCCACAATGCTAAAGTGACCGGGAGATACAACCATGGACTTCATCTATAAGTGAAGGTAAGGCTAAAAATGATTTTATGTTTTTGTTTTTAAAAAATAATCTGGGATTAAGTACAAAAATTAAAAAAGTATTTGATAACTAAATTTCTGGCCTAAAATATATATCTATTTCTTATCATTTTTGATAGACAACCTTTTATTAAAGCAACTGAATTTAAAGTTGAATTAAATTTGTGCTGCACTCATCTCTATACTTTAATTTGTTTACAGTAAATTTGAATTGCTTAGACAAGGGTGCTATATCCATTTTTATAAAAGAAATGTTCGTTGTAGGACAAATATGTTCCTGTGTATACAGCGGGACAGGTGATCACTCTATTTAGAACATTCAAGACATCCTAAAAGTTTACCAATAATATATTTAGATTACAATGTAAAACAAATGAAAAGAAAACCATTCACTTCTACTATTCACGTTTTACTTTATATATTTATGTATTTGTATTTACTAGATACAAAAGCTACAGCGTTTGAATCACGCTGCACTACTGGAGCAAATAACGTGCTCTTATTCTGAAGAAAAACGAGGCGGACTTCTGATCTTTTCCTATTTCCGCTATGACGTTTGAAACGTTAATTTAAAAATGGCGATACACCTGCTGTTCCTGGTGTGATCCCTCTTTCGAACTGCGTAGTACTCGTAGAAATACACAACAGGCGTCATTTAATACTCTCAGGCTTCCCGTTCATAATGTCAACAGAAGAGCTTTATGCTTCGGACAGCGAGGTCGCACTAGCCGGTGCTGGAGAGCGCTGGGCACCCGTGGGCGCCGTGGCGAGTTCAGAAGATGAGAACCGCAGCCGCTGCGCTGAAAATTCGCTTCACGGCTTCACGTTGGCCAGCGACGAGGAAATGGCCGCCAGATTGAGAAGGCTGGAAGAGGAGCAGGGTTTGCTGAACTCCTCTCTGCTCGCACTCACCTCTCACTTCGCACAGGTTCAATTCCGACTCAAGCAGATAGTTCACGCCCAGAGCGAGGAGAAGGAGAGGATGTTGGCCGAGTTGGAAGAGTTCGCCTTCAAGGGCTGTCCTCATGTTGTTGGTTGTCGGGCTCAGGACGCTAAACAGCTGGAGAACTCGGTGAGGACTGCTTTGACGACACCATAAAATTATTCTATTCGGTATTGTGGCGACAGAGGGTCTCGCTATTCTATATAGCACAGTGGATAGTTAAACTCGTGTGTGAAATCACTTAAAATGGCCAAAATATGTCAAATAAAACACTAAAAATGTGACGTTTAAATAAAAGAGCTACTTGATCTGTGGATACTAGTTTCATTAAGAAAATGTAATGTGATCGAGACCTCCGCCGTGTTTAAGAAGACCATTGATTAGTTAAAACACGACGTCTCAGTTTGACCATCGATATATTGATAACAAGGTTTAAATCAGATGTGTCAAACATACGGCTTGCTTGATGAGTTTTGATATTAAAATATGCACAAACACATGTCCGTGATGTTTTTTCAAATATTTCATTAAATATAAATATTTCTTAATATATGTACTGTATATATATATTTCTAATTTCCAGGCGTGAACTCCCAGGGGATTAATAAACATCTAGCTATCCTATCTATCTATCTAATCTATCTATCTATCTAACTATACCTGTACATCTTTGCATGAAAACAAATGGGGAAAAACATGGACGTATTTATATTATTTATATGAAAATATGTTATGAATTTACTGCAAACTTGACATTTAATCAGGCTGTATGTGGCCCTTGAACCAAAAATGAATGAAAGATCTCTGGTAGTGCAGAGGTTAGCATGTGAAATCACATGCTCATATGCAACAGCGTATCTGCTGTTAACACAAGAATTACCTCAGTATGGAAACAATATAGTTCAAAAGTATTTATTGATTTAAATCTAAGATCGTTTGAAGAGAAATATTATGAACAACAAATTTCATAGCAGACATTGATTTATAAAAGTAACATTTTGCTACCTCTAATTTCTGAAATCAGCCTTCAGTGTTCATCTTTACTATACAGTAATTGTAATAGAATTGTCTGTCAATGTCAGATCTGATTAGACTCAGTTCTAGTATGCAAATAAAGATCACATGACATTTTAACAGCAGTTTTTTTTTTCTTGCCACTAACTCATGATTTGGACACCCCCGGGCGCTTAAAGCTGCCATGCGCTTAAAGCTGCCCACTGCTCACTTGGGCTAAAAGCAAAGATACAATTCCATTGTATCCCCGTGTTACAAGGACAATAAAGACTATATTTTAATTTAATTTTGTTACTTCACAGTCACTAATTAATAAAGCAACACAGGCAGTATCAGTATCAACTAATTTTTGTTTTCTTTTATATGGCTGAGAGTGTGGTTCTCACAATCATAGCAGATGCAGATCTTATCTCTTGTGGAAAATGCTGAATCCTGCCACGAGCGTATGTGACTCAGGCTATGCACTGCAGGCTGTTATTATGACCTTTTTTCAATATTTGGACGTAGCGGTGTTGAAACAGCTCGCTTTGTTCGTGCTGTTGTTTGACTTGGCAAACCTCGTCTTGTTTCCAATACATTGTAAGAAACTTTGTGTACTCTCAACTGTGTTACGGCATGAATTACATATGTATGATAAATATTGAGCTAAGCCTTTTGGACTATATCCTCGATATAAAAATAGGTAGCTATAACACTTGCCTTAATAGCAAGACTTCACTAGAATGCTGGTCTGATGTTTTTGTATGGATTGATCAGGCATTGGAAATCAAACATAAGTGTGAATGTGAGCATCAGTAGGTGTTTTTTAGAAACATATAAATGTATAAATCAGGGTCGTCAAACATATGGCCCGCGGGCCAAAACTGGTCAGCTTAGGGTTTCAATCTGGTCCGCTTGATGAATTTTAAAAAATGAAAAAGAAATACACAAACACTTCATGTTCAGGATATGTTCTGTAAAATTATATTTCAATTAATATGAAGACGTATCTAATGTACTTCTTAAAAACATGAAAAAAAGGGGAAACAATGAGTTTGACACCCATGGTATAATAATATGCAATTTTGTTGGCCTTCAATTGTGTTCAATTACAATAGTTAAATAAAGGGCAAAATGTCTTTTTTTTTTTTATAGTATATTTTACAAAAACTGATCAGCATAAAACAAAATGTAACTTTGTTAAATGAATAAAATCACAGAAACAAAAAAAATATATACTGAGCCTTCTTTCCTTCACTTTCCTTTATTAGTGAAGTGGGCATACCAAGCAGGTCAGAACAAAAATCATACTAATGATTACTCATTGTTGTGCTCACACAATAATTTTTTTTTTTCAGACTGAGAGAGAGGAGAGGGAGTGCCTCGAGGCTTGGAGGGAAAAACAGAAAGATCTCATTTTCCAACTAAAGACCCAGCTGGATGACCTAGAGCAATTCGCCTACCAGGAGGGCAGCTATGACTCGCTGCCACAATCAGTTGTCCTGGAAAGACAGAAGGTGAGGACAAGTGGCTGCAATACACCTGAAATCCAAACACCCCAATCCCTATGCTGAATATGAGAGGAAGGAAAGCCTCTTTATGCAAAAGTAGGGGTGTAACGGTATATGTGCATTGTCTCGGTACGGGCATTACGGTTCGGTGCACGCCGTCACACGGCGAATATGTCTGAGTGAGTAGCCTATTAAAAAAAAAAAAAAAAAGGCGAGTCCTCATTTTAATCCAGGTGGCAGTAATGAGCCTAAACGCCACCAGCAACTGTCAATAGACCACAGAAGAAGAAAAAGAAAAACAGACAAAGAAGAAAAGTGATGGCGTGCGTGGGTGAGAGTGTGGAGTTTAAAGAGCCGCCGAGCCGCCACGCTTTCCTGATGCAACAATGCGATGATGGCATGTGAGTGGACCGGACAAAGAATGTTTGCCGGTGATGTTTCGTTGACGTGCAGTACGACACTGGGAACACGTCGAATATGCAAGTATGCAGCAACTTATTCCCATTGTTTTTTTTTTTTATCAGCCTCTTGGTTTTAGCACAGACAGGGCCAAAAAGATAATGGAAGCAATTGGCATATGCATATCCACATCTATGTGCCCATATGCCATAGTAGGGGAAACCAGCTTCAAGAATTTATTGAAAATGCTTGAGCCACGCTACAGTGTCCCATCACTTACGCACATAAGCTCATTTTTTAACTCAAAATTTAATGATACTTTAGTTACCTTCTCAAGAGATGCATAGTTGACCTTACAGACTCTTAAAAGACAGATTTTATTTTTCTAATATTTTATAGTGTATTTTGTATTTGCACACCAGGAGATACTATTTAATTCTGTACTGCCTTTTATTTTATATTAGCCCAAGCCTAGAGTCATTGAAACACTTATTTTTGTAATATTTTCAAGAGATTTTAGTTGTACTTTTTGAAATTTTTGTTTGACTTGTGCCAGTATAGAAATATTGCTAATTTTAGTTTCTTACAGTGACGTTGCTACCTGACTACCTCATTTCTACTAGAAATTGTTTTTTTTCTTTTCCTGTGTATGACCAAAATGAATAAATGGTATGAGAACCCTCCTAATGCATTTTTTATGTTTTATTCTGTTTTTTTTTTTTCACTTTTATAACAGGTTTTTAGTTAGCAGTCAGTTAATGTCTGTACAAAATAAATGACAAAAAAGGTAGTCTAATACATGTGCAAGTTTTTGTTGCTTGTTTCCCATTGTACTGAACCAGTAACGAAAATGTACCGAACCGTGACTTGTGAACCAGTAACGAAAATGTACCGAACCGAACCGTGTACCGTTATCCCAAATCTGTAGCAGATGTTATTCCTTTAATCGTAACACTAAAGCGTCTTCTAAGCAAAGAGGAAACGATGAAAAGTACACAGTTTGTCAGCACACGGTCGTATGCATTTTCTTGCATGCTCTTGCTTCTGTGTAATTAAATCGAATGTGTTCCTGTGATGTTGTGATGATCTGAGTCCAAGATTCATCTTTTCTTTCTTAGTTTGGCCTAACTGCTGTGGAATGCAGTTTCCTTCCTTTTAGATCTGCTGTTAATCACCTTATAGATTTGACAAGGCCTAATTTATGTCCTCAGTCTGGAGTTTTCATAACATTTCCTCATGTGGACTTTTCATCAATATGTCTTGCGAATCTCCATTAAACAAACCAAGTTTAACCTTAAGTTTAACCTTTTGTTAAAAACGTAGGTTATCATTGATGAGCTGATTAAGAAGCTGGATGTGAACCTGAATGAAGACATTGGAAATCTGCCTCTAGAAGAGCTGAGGCAAAGAGTTGATGCTGCCATCGCACAGATTGTTAACCCAGCCAGAGTTAAAGAGCAACTGGTTGAACAACTTAAAACCCAGATTAGGGACCTGGAAATGTTTATCAACTTCATCCAAGGTAGACCACTTGTTATAGCATTAGCCATTTTTTTTGCTTTTTTGAGTTTATTCTGTAACCAACTCTGTGCTTTTTCTTCCCAAAGATGAGATGGGGAACCCTCTCTTGTTAGGGAGTGGACAAAACCAACAGAATCCAACAGCGGGAAACAATGCCAGAATCCCAGGGGTAAAGAGACAAGGTCAGTAATATGGCATATTTTTGGCTTACAATATTTTGGTTAGTTATGTACTTAACAGCGGTGTTACAGTGCCAGCTAAATGAAATGTACTGTGTTTCCCTGACTATAGGTCACACTTTCTTTTTTTATTTTTTAATCCTTTGGCTGGATTTGCGACTTATACTCAGGTGCGACTTAAATATTAAAATATATAATTTCACCTTTATTTTCCCACCAACAGCCGTGAAAGGGCACTCTAGGCTTGTGTACCAGTATCTGCTACTCCCGTACCCCTGAAAATGTACGTGTTTTGGCTTATATATTGATTTTTCATTTATTCATACGTGTTTTGGCTTATATATTGATTTTTTATTTATTCATTATGCGTTTTTTTTGGCTGGTGCGACTTCTACTCTGGAGTGACTTATGGTTTGGGAAATGCAGTAGATGCAAACTCAAACTATTCTTTGTATTCCTGCCAAGACAAAGATCAGTCAAACGACCAATTTAGATGTTGTCAGCAATGTTCCTGCAATCGTGCACTGCTAGAACATTGTCAGCGCACAAGAAATTCTGTGCAGCTTATTAAAAAAAATTAACAAATGGGATTTGTAAATCCCAGATTTACCTAAACCTAAAGCCTTCCAAAACCCTGGCCAAGTCAAATTTTCATAATAGGTATCTCTGCAATGCCTTAGCTAATTCTAAAATATGCAAACCTAGAAGCTGTATTTCTTTGCCATAGCATCACTGCATGTTTTAGTTTTAGGCTTATTGGCATCTTTTGTTTTTTGTTTTTTTTGTTGTTGTTTTTTTTTACAATAGACAATAAAGCTGCAAAACATAAATGATTATCCCATAGTAAACAGTGTGCTGTGTTTCCAGAATTTGTTGTTCAGATTGAGTCACAATCTGCAGATTAGGCACTACATGAATGCGATGCTGGTACTGGCAATGTTTAATCTAGAGATCATCGTCTCCCTTTTGCTAAGAGGTTTGGTTCGGTTTTACAATTCAGATTACTGTGTATTCTTCGGTTGGCTGAACGGACAACCTGTGTATTTAAGCATTGTGCGTGGATATAAGGCATAAAGACAGTACCTGTAGTACTAATTGAGGCAAAGTAAATAAGAATAACATTTGCATTCAGTGTTGACCCAGCCCAAGAGTTTTGGTTTTTTTTCTTTCTTGCCGAATTGCCACATTTGCAGTTTTTTTTTCTCTAGGGTTGCAATAAACTAATGATGCCTGTTTGATATGTTAATATTCTGTAGCTGTATTCAATAATGCAATTTGTTTAACCACGACTTAAAGTTATGACAGGCTTTCCGAAATTTAAATTTAATTTGCAAAGTAATTACAGTATAGAGTAACTTCACCCCCTCATGACTACAACTTCTCCTGCTGGAGCCGCTGTTAAGGAGCAAAGGAAATTTGATTTGGAATCTTCAGATACATTATTTGGGCTTGGTACTGTACTGTAAAATTGTTTGTTCTGTATCATATGTCACTTTGTTAATAAAATAGCGTTACCACGATTGTGTTTTTTTTTACAGTACCTGTATATGATGTAATCCAATAGATAAATAGTAAAGAAAGGGAAAAGGGGAAAATAGTACAGTCATCCAATAGATAAATAGTAAAGAAAGGGCAAAAGGTAAAAAATAGTACAGTATAGTAAGTAACTTCATTGTTAAGGACCAGCTATGTGCTTTTGTAATTTATTTTTAAATCTAGTTGAAATATAATCAATCTAAAATATTTATTTTTTTCAATTTATTTTTAAATCTAGTTGAAATATATAATCGATCTAAAATATTTTTTTTTTCTTTCTACAGTGGATCCCCAACAAGCTAAGAAAATTCAAGAGACTGGCCTGCAACTAATCCAAAGAGCAATCACTGTGCTCCAGATTTTTGCTTCAAGCCAGTTTGGCTGTGCGACTGGACGTTTTCCCCCTAGTATGTGGCCTGGGGAGCCCCCGGTACAGGACTATGGCCCTCTGCTGCAACGTCTGGAGGCTGCAGTGAAGAAAGTGCGATTGCTAGGTTCACAAAGTCATGTCTTCGTTGAACACACTGTCAGCAACTCGAGCATGGAGCCCAGAGATGGGCTGACAATGGTTGTTAGGAAAGAGCTAGCAATTGCTATAAAAGACTTATTGGCTCATGGCCTCTTCTTGCCCTCTCAAACCATGAGCTTAATGCTGGCTCCCATTTCATGCCTGCTGCCTTATGTACCCAAACAACAAACTATGCACCCATGGGACCTCTTTCTCAAATACTACAACTCCAAAAATGGAAAGGCCTTTGTGGAAACACCAGCCCAGCAGCTTTCACAGTCCTTCAGGCTGCCCGTAGGGAGCAGCCAAGTGACCATAACGCCAACACAATCGCTACTGTGTGCTATCCACACTGTGTTGAAGGAGCATTGTCGTTACAAGCGAGGACCAGATACAGCGTTTAAAGCATTGGTTTGCATTGCTCTGAATGAGCAACGGCTGGTGTCCTGGCTCAACCTATTGTGTAAGTCAGGAACTCTGATCCAACTGCACTATCAGCCCTGGAGCTACATGGCCCAAACTGGCTTTGAAGGGGCCCTGCGCATCCTGGGCCGTATTAGTCACCTTCATTTTAACCTCCCCGTTGACCTGGCTGTTCGACAGCTGAAAAATATCAAGGATGCTTTTTGAGAAAGCAGCAAGAAAAAAGAAGAAAGAATTGAGTTTCAAAGGTTAAGTGTTTTAACAGTGTAACTCATTGTTTTAATGTACCTTTTTGTGTTTGTACGAAGTGGTTCAATTTTAAAGCGAATTTCAGCAGCTATCAGTCAAGCCGCTGTATGTTCCTGGATAAATAAGAGGCCATGTGTGTCTCCCCTATTAGAAGTATCTGTCCAAAAATATTGTAAAAAAAAAACAAACACATTTTACAAGTCAGTAGATCACTGTATGCTGTAGCTACTTATTGTTACTGTACTGAAATAACACTACATCCTATTTTCTTTTACAACATTTAACAACCACTAATTCACAGTCATACTACTTTTACGTGGTATGGCAGGAACTGATGCTGCTCCAGTATAACCGTGAAAGTCATTTATAATTAATTGCTTAACATTATTGGCAAATTTTATTTTGCCCAACATTCAAGTTGTGATAGTCATTCCTCACAAGTTGATTTAATTTTAGTCTATGAACATCAATTTTAATTTCACTTTAAATATTATTATAGGATACGAATGAATACATTACTGAAAAGTGCCAGAACGTTACAGTGCCTAATACAACCACTCTTATATACTGAATGTACATGGAGAAGGTTTGACATACTCTACGATTTCTTTCTATTTATTTGATTAAAGCGATTATTTTTGTTGAAAACATTAAGGACAAAGCATGGAATATATTATTTTATTAGATACTTCAGTTAGTCTGTAGTAAGGAAGTAAAGAAATGTTGGCTATTTAATGAACTGCTGTGCTGCAGGTGGGTCTTTTTAATTGTTTTTTTTTTTTAATTTACTTTATAAAAGTAATATATCGGGTGGTATAAATTGTGTCTTTTTAATGTGAACATGTTGCTGTTGTGAAAACATCAAATGTGGTAAATTATCTGTACATTGTATTGTCGCTTCAAATTATTTAGAAAAAAACAACTAATGTACCACCCAAGCTATGTTGGAAAACAAAGGCTATAAACATTATCTGTCACTTATTTCTCAGTCACTTTTATGAAAAAGGTTTCATCAAATCTAAGGCAGATCAATGTCATTTCAGCTTTTTGTGGGTTTCAGTTAAACACAATAATCATAATGACCCAATTCAGACCAGAAATGGGGTGCTGACCCTTATTAAAAAAAATGAGAGAATGGAGAATTATTTGGACTAATTGTTATTAGTTAATTCACAATTAATTATGGGCCAGGGCAGAGTTGTGAAAGTCAAGATCCTGAATTTTAAAGCTGGCAATGATTAACAAATTAGCTATGAATTATTACGTCAATTCCCACAACAATGACATGTTCCTTGAAGAATCAAGGCTGTAAAAAAAAAGTCAAAAGGGAGTCAATCCTGATGTAAGCAAGAAATATCTCCTAAGTGTGGAGGTGGTAGACTCGAACCTGAAGCCTTCCAGACCCAAGGCCACTTCTTTAACCACTAAGCCACCACTGCCCCTAATGTTGCTTATGTTGCCGGGACCTCCGAAAAACTTAGGAGCACCAAATTCCTGTACATTTTAAACCCACTATCACCCTCAGACAAAGACTAGTTAATCCAAAGGACAAAATACCTCACCACAAACAGAGCAACATTGTATATGCATTACAGTGAGGACATTGGGAAAACCAAACAACCACTGTACAAGCGTATGCAACAACACAGATGAGCCAGCTCCTCAGGGCAGGACACAGCTGTTCATCTACATCTGGAGGACAAAGGACACACTTTTGTGGATGAGGATGTACATATCCTGGCCAGAGAAGACAGATGGTATGAGAGAGGGGTGAAGGAAGCCATCTACGTTAATATAAGCAGCTTAATTGAATTTTAAACACCAATTCTTATTTTGCTTCAAGAAACAACTTGACATTCACCACAAATTGTAAGAAACAACTTGACATTCACCACAAATCCCCTCTTCACCTAGCAGAAAGACTACATTTATTCAAAACAACTTGCTATGACACTTTCAATTGTAGTATTGTTTACTGCATAGGTGGTAAGGCATATTTGTATAGCATTTGTATAGCTTTGGAAAGAATTGTGCAAAAAGGAGTTTTGAATGCAGCCCTAAGTAGGCATGCAGGTCAGTCTCATCTGTCCTTTTCCAGCTGTCTCCATATTTGCAAAAACCCTCCAAATTTGTCACCTACAGGATTATTTTTTTCTATTGCTGATGTGGTAAACATGTAGAATGTTGAGACAATGTCATGAGGATGAGAAGTGGCATATCTTGTGGGTCCTGGGGTCATCCTCATGACATTTTGTCAAATGCTGCCAAGGACCATGTTATTTTGAGGTTTTTTTTAAAGGAAAGTCTCTCAGCTTCAGGGATTTCTTCTTCTGAAGAAGATGATTCATCATGCTCTGGGTTGTATTGCTCCCCATCTTCTACCGAATCAGAGAAGTCTTGTTGGATATCTGAAAAAATCAGCTCTAGAGCCCGTTTAACGTTATAACGCACATGGCTTCAACACAGAGAGAATTCAGGGCACTGTCATCTGCAGCACCTTTATAGCCTGTGGGAGTCCACACAGACAAAGGGGCAATATTGTTACATTTGGGTCAGATCGGGTCACAGGCAGTGCTGTCCACGAGAAGACCACCTGTCAAACTGACTCGCCACTGTGTTAAAAACCAACACAGTGGCGGGTCCAAAAAAGGTACAAACATTGTCTTTGGGTCAAAATGACCCGACAGTCAAATTTAGTTGAAATCACAGTCACAGAGTTAGTTACACACCACAGAATGTGAGAATGTTTTAGTTCTGTCTCAGATCAATCAGTAGCGGACATAAACAAGACAAGACAGGTGGTCTTCTCGCGGACAGCACCTGCCTGTGACAACAGGAGGGTTAATCTGGAGAAACCATCTCTCAATAGAGGAGGTGGTTTGAGACACAACCTTTCATCCACCTATAATGTCGTCCTAAGTTCTCTCCCCAAAGAATTTCAACCCCCTCTCTGAAAACAAGACCACAGTTTCATTTCAAAGGACACCCGGCCAAAAGTTTCGCTCAGGTGAAACTATTAGTCCATATGTATGGTATCACTCCTCATTCACACCTCTAACCTTGTGACTCTACATTCTGCCCTCCTCCTTATAATAGGGTGTGGTGCACAACACCCCCCGCCCCCCGGGCTTTCTGCAAGAACCCTCGTTACGGGTATGCAGTCCCTGTGAGGCTAGTCAGTCAGAACTGAAGAAGAAGGATGAGAGTTGAAACATCTTTAAAAAAAAACCTACCCTGTCCAGCTGCCTTCGATGTAACTATTTTTGGACTGGTGCAGGCTAACTTCCCTTGCCTTGTGGTCGATGCAATACCCTAATGGAAAGTAAAATAAATGACTTTAATTGTCGAACATTAAATTTTATAACATACAACATAAAATCTTACTTATGGAAGGTTATACCATGATCCTTCATTTTTTTGATTGCTCCTTGTCAGAGCTGTCGGCCAATTCAACATATTTTCAGTAAATCCCTACACCAGGGGTGTCCACACTTTTTCGGCTTGGGAGCTACTTTTCAAATGACCAGGGTAAAGTGATCTACCTACATTGAAAACTATAATGTATATTTACTACTTTGATTAAATGAATAGGGGTTGTGTTTTAGTCTATCATCAGCATGCTCTGTAAAATATCGCATTATTTATGTAAAGGATGTGATTAGATTACTTGTACTTCAGTAGATTTTTAGGTAGATACACTTGAGTACAATTTAAGCAAAGTAAAGATACTTTTATTTAATTACATTTTTTTTTAGCACTTTATCCACCTCTGATTGAACGGCAGCCGATGTTTTAGGGAGTGGACCTGTCAGTAATATAAAACAATATTTAATTACACTGAACAAATACTGAAGTACATTAAAAGAAATAATATATTGATAATTGTGGTAACTTAATGCAATCCAGTGTATTAATGGGTTTCAAAGGTGGACCAATCTTTTGACACAGGTCGCATTCAGAGACCTTTAAAATAATGATACAGTTGTAAGTTTCATTTCTATGTGTAAAGGACACAGGATACCTAAAACAAAACCATACATACCCATTCGTAATGTATTATTCCAGGTGATTCCAGATAATTTCCCAATGTTTGTTTTTTTGTTTTGTTTTTGTGGATGAGAATGATCTGCATTGGTGGGTCAATGTGTGTAGGTATGCCAAGTATTCATTTTAATAGATTAACCTACTTTGCAAGTATCTTCACTTAGCTTAATTATGTAATACAGTTTGTTTTTTCCCCATTATTGATTACTTTTACTCAGACATATGCTTAATTTAAAGTTTGTAGGAACATGCGCAATTGAGTGATTTTAATCGTGGAGGAAATTTTGATTAATGTACTTTTTTTTATTTTCTTTTTAATCATGCGTGTAGGCCACATGAGGTATACACGTACACACGAAAATCGTTAAATTAGTACATTCGTCGATTTGTCGAAATGCCCTCAATTTTCCTCAACATGGCATCTCAATTTTCCTCCGACCGTTACAAGTGAAAACACGCGCTGTCATAATTGAACTGCGTTCTGGAAGTTTATATAGGCTACACAACATTTGCTGTATAGTTGAAATAAATGAAATGTATAACTTCATGAAAAATACTCTCTTTCTCCAGGGGTATACTGATTTTGTAGGGTTGAATAAGCGATTGTGTATTCCATTGGTTTTGCTTTTATGCGCATTCATAGTAGACAAATCATACAAATTGGGAATACAAATCTGACAGGCATCTTTGCTGCATCTGAACAAAATCGGAGTCTTAGTGGTTAAGTTTGCCAACACAGCCCGAAGCATCCTTTAAATTACACTGAAGCCATTGTTTAGCGAGTTAAATGAGCAGTTGTTACCTGTAAAATATTGAGTCGCACTTGTGTTACGTAGTGAAGTTAGCAAATATTAACCATGGATATTTTATATTAACTGTTTGAAATTGAGAATGTGTTAATTGACTAATGATCTGTTAAACCACAAACGTAATAGGTTAACATGAACCTTGGGCAAAGAGTCTTAAAGTCTAACAATACATTATTTTATTGATTGTTATTATTGTGTAGATTATTGGGATGATGATGATGCCACATAGCTTGCCCTCTATAGCAACCATATGAGATCAAATCCAGTTTGTGCACACTAAAGCGGATATGGACTGTTGCTAATCTTAATAAGAATAAATCATTATCATTCTTGCTGAAATGTAATCACATTTACAAACATGGGAAAACATTCAGTACAAAAGAGAGGTCATTTTGTAGAGCAAGGAATTTGATTTTTTCATCTTCCTGAGTTGGTTCATTTATACTTTACAAGAACCTGACAAACAATTCAGTGAAAGCATGTGAAGACTGGTTTGAACTTATGGAGAACAGATTTGTCTGCGTGTACAGTTAATGTATTTCAATGACCATTTGGTTATGACCTTGGTTATGATTTGCATTTAGGGTTATTGAGGCTATTTTTTTTAATGTATCCTTTAATTTTACCTAGATAGGTGTTTGTCAGATTTTCACAGCTGTTACTCTCTATGTAGAACATAGACGATGGAACCACTGACCGCCCATACAGTCATGCTCTGGTTGCTGGAATTGACCGCTATCCCCGTAAGGTTACCACGACCATGGGCAAGAAGAAGATTGCCAAAAGGTCAAAGATCAAGGCCTTTGTCAAAGTATTCAACTACAACCATCTTATGCCAACCAGGTTAGTAAAGCTCATCACCTGCAAGAATACATTAGACAATCGTATTCAAAATTCATATTCACTTTAATTTTTTTTTTCTTTTTTCAGATACTCTGTAGATATCCCTTTGGACAAGACTGTTGTCAACAAAGACATCTTCAGAGATCCTGCTCTAAAGCGCAAAGCTAGACGAGAGGCAAAGATGAAGTTTGAGGAGAGGTGATTGTCATCATAAGTCAAATTTCCAAAAAAGATTGTTGATTAGCTATACCTGTGATGGCAGGTGTGAAGGAAAGTGGACATCAACAAATTGGTCACAAGTCCCAGTTATATGACGACTTGTTAACTGTCGTGAGAATTTCCACAGCCAAACCCATGAGCCTCAAACAAGACTGGCGGGCCGCCAAACTCTCAGCAGTTAATTGGAAATAATGCTTAACAGTAAATCAAAAGGGTCCAAAGTATTGACCATAATATTGCAGAGTAATGTGAGTAGTCATAACCATATTGGCCAAATATTGCACAAATTTATGAAATTGCAGATTTAATCATATTTGTGCCTACACTGATCCGTATTTTGGACAGAATAGTCAGAATATCACATTATTGGTGCCTGACCAACACATTATGAAGTGGATGAGAGACAGCATTGCTGAGACCATGGTTGGATACCAATTGTTTTAATGTTTTATATTTTGCTAGGTGCTGGAGTTAATGCAGCATGTTTAGTGTGGCTTTCCACAATACTCTTCTAAAAAATGTTTTTTTCTTTCCATTTGCCCTAGGTACAAGACGGGGAAAAACAAGTGGTTCTTCCAGAAGCTCAGATTCTAAAGTCGCATGGTTTCACAATAAATGTTTAAAAAACAAACAAAAAACATCTCTTGAAATTGATTTAACTTGGGTGTTCTGGAAATAGTTTCTTACAAAGCTTGTGACAAAAACAGTCTGCAATCTGTTTTTAATATATATATATATATATATGTTGCAGGAAATAAGTGTGAAGTTGTTTTGTTTTTTTATTTGAACAAAGTCAGGGCAGTTGCACAGTTTTGAAAGTACATTCTGGAACTCTAAACCCAGAATTAATTTTGCATAGCATCTTCAGATGTAGTGTGTTTCAACTAAGTTCCAAAGTAGTTTTAAATATTTAAAACGTTTATTTCAATGTTTGCTGTGCGGAAAACAGTAGCCAGATATGTGTTACATCTGTTGTGGTTAATTGTCATAGATAATGAATGAAAAGCAGTTTAGGACTGTTTAGCTAAAGAATGAGCTGCAGGTATTGCAAACCAACTTGAGGCATGTGAAATTATTTTTTGTGTTTTTTTTGTTTGTTTGTTTTTTTTTCTGGAAAAAGAAACCAGCTACCAAGTTAACTAGAGAGTAAACTACTTGTTATTGTGACACAGCACACAACAAATGTGACCTGACCCATCACCAAAATGAACAGTGGGCAGCTTTAAGTGTCTAGTGAGCAGTGTGTGGGGATGGTGCCATGCTCAGAGCACCTCAGTGGTAGCTGGTGGACTCAAACCTGAAGCCTTTCAGACCCAAGTATGCATTTGTAACCACTAAGCCACCACTGCCCAAGGCCCCTGCTCACTTTGGTGATGGGTTAAAAGCAGAGGTCACATTTGGTTGTATGTGCAATAGTGTGCTCACAATGACAAGTAATTCACCTTCTTCTAGCTACTACCTTCCGATTGGTTACTTGTTTTGTTTGTTAGTATGGTTTCCTTTATCATCTTTTTTTTTTTTAAAAAAAAAGAAAAGCCATCAAGTTTTATTGTCACTCTTTGTTTCATTGCAGCCGTTTGCTAAAATCAAAAAAGTTCATTTTATTTCTCATTAATATACACTCAGCACCCCATCTTGACAGAAAAAAAGCTAATTTATTAAAAAAGAAAAACTGAAATATCACATGGTCATAAGTATTCAGACCCTTTGCTCAGTATTGAGTAGAAGCACCCTTTTGAGCTAGTACAGCCATGAGTCTTCTTGGGAAGTGACAAATTTAAAGGGGTCTGAATACTTTCTGTACCCACTGTATATATATGTATATATATATATGTATATATATATATGTATATATATATATATATATATCGCGAAGGTGCTGTCCTCATGACCCTACCTCAATACAATCTCTGATAATACATCAATGGAAGTTTGGGGTGTCCTCTTTGGTGGTGGTAAGTATAAGTGAAGAGGGTGCCAGCTGTGTGCTGTATGTATTTTAAAAAGTTTATATTTAGCAGAGTTATGTCCAACTTAAAGATGGTTCGCCTCTATCAACACAGCTTTCGTTTCTCGTGTGGCTCCTTGAAAAGAGAAATTGCTTTCCCCTGTGTTTCAATGGACGCCGTGCATACCTGCATCTGCACATTAATACCGCCTAGTGGTAGCAAAAACACACTACACGTTTACCACTTCCTGCAGCTGAGAAACAGAAACAGAAAGAACGGTGGCACTTATCGGCAGAGGTAAGAAGTAAGTGTTCATAAAATACGATACAAGATACTGAAAAAAACTGTTTAGTTTAATCCAATATGTGTGTACATTTACTTTTCTGAAGTTTACCATTAATTCGATCTGAGTCACATGTTGACGCGTTCAGATAAAGGAGGGTCTGAATGTTTTCGGTTTTGTGTGTCTTCACTTATGAATTCTATATCAACAATACGGCTGCAACGACTGTAATATAACAACTTTCATAACAAAACAGTAGTGTTTATTATAGATGGCATTAACGATAAAAGCATTATTTATTGTACCATTGATATTGTTAATATGGTATCCAATTAATCAATAATAATAATCAATATATCTCTTTCATTGCTTTTAAAATTGTATTCTTCTACATTAAGTTTGTGGGCATAAAATAAAAACAGTACATCGTCACTCTTTTTAAAATTTTGTTTTGAACAAATTGTTCAACAAAATACAAATCATTCTGTCAGGAATATTAAGTCCCACCAACCTTTAGTTTTTTTCTGATTATACTATTAATAATGAACAAATAATATTTGACCTAACTTTTGAAAAAATAAGTACTGTAAAGCTATACTTGAAAATCAAAACTCTATTTATGATTTTTTAAATAGTTGAATGTTTTCTTCTGGCTCACATTTCTTCTGGCTCTTCTGTTGGGTTTTAGCTACGGATATCCGATATTGTCCAAACACTTAAAAAAAATCTGTACAAAACACTAAGAATTGCTGGCACCAGCACTGGGCTTGTTTAGCGTTGATAATGTTCTGTGTAAATATGTTATTGTGACGGTTGGGGAATAAATGTTTATGTTCTGGTATAATGTTCTACGTTTTTTGGGTGCCTTGAACGCACCATGATGTAGCGCACATGCGCAGTGTGTTCTGTTCCTTGTGCAAGTTGGTTCGGTTAGTACTGTTGAAGCTGTGCTCCAAGCGGTTTGGCGTCCGCTGTAGCCGACAACAGTGTAGATTATGTGTGAGCTAATTAGTTAATAGACCGCTTTCTGATTAAAAAAATAAAAGCTACCTCTGCTCCCGCTACATTATGAAGGAGTAAACAGTTACAGGTATGGGGGAGGGTGTGAGGAGGCGTGGTGAGAGCAAGTGTACGTATGAGGAAAAGAGAAAGGAGTGTGAAAGGCGGAAAAGGCGTTTTGGAGAAGCTGTGTTGAAAGCAATAAAGAAATTTAGAATGAGTTACTGCAAATGTGTTTCAATAAAAGTTCTTCAAAGCACTGAGACATCTTACTGGTCTGTCGCTGGCACTATTTTTAGAGCACATAATTTGGCAAAAGCCCAGGCATTGCGGTATATAGGCCATAAGGTAAACCCGATTATCCTGCCCGTTTTTTATATCGATGTATTTTATAAAGAACTAGCGTCTGCGGGGCGCAATAAGATTTTGGTGCGTGAGCGGTGGCACGGTTCGACACGTGATCGTGCTGCACCAATCGAATAGCTGATGTCAACACTTCCGGCGACACGGCTTCCTCCGTGGTTCTACTTAACGTAGAGCGGGAAGAGTACCTTAAGGGTTTTAAAAATCTGGGCGCTAACTTTAACTCGGACCACTCAACACTTGCACTACTTTGCAAATATGTATGCCACCTGTATGATCAGCTGGCTGCTGAAAATGTCAATGTGGCTAGGCACAAGGCTTTCTGTATGGCATCATCAGCCTCGCCAGAATTGTCTAACATTTCATGTGTAGCCTCAGCGTTATTTTGCAATGGTTGCATGGTTAATATTACCATTAATTTTCTTACGCTGTTTTGTATTGTTTTATATATTGTACACACTGTATGTACAGTATATATGTTTTAATAAAGTTTTTTTTGTGATTTATCGGTGTTGTGTTTAGTTAGGACCGAATAAATGAACGAATGAATAAACAAATGGTCCTTTTATTGATCAAAATGACTTAACATGCAAAGTTCATCTTATCGTCTATTTGCCTCATTGTTCTTCGTGCATACGGCTATGTATAAAGCACTATTTAGAATCCATTTGGCCCACTTTAGAAGACTTTTGGGAGAATTCCTCTCTACCGGTAACGTTATGTAGAACCACGGAAGAAGCCGTGTTGCCGGAAGTGTTGACATCAATCAGCTACTCGATTGGTGTAGCACGATCACGTGTCGAACCGTGCCACCGCTCGCTCACCAAAATCTTATTGCGCCCCGAAGACGCTAGTTCTTTATAAAATGCATCGATACAAAAAACGGGCAGGATATTTTGCGACGAACTTTTTGCGGAAAGTATAACGTAACTCGGTATTATGAAGTTGAGATCGTGTAGTTCCCAGACGTCGGAGCGGAATTCAATTTCTAAAGGACTTTTCGTGGTTCACACTGCGGCCTAATATGAGTTTTTTTTTACATATATTAAAAAATATGCTAATATCAGGCTAATAATGAGTCGGCCGATATTATCGGACATCCCTAGTTTTGGCTGCTTTTGTCATTGGTTTAAATACACTTATTTTGACTAACTTCATTTTTAAACGTTTTATTAATTATTGTTGGGCCTGTTATAGATACCTTCTACAGCCAAACACTTGAGATGGATTCCTCCCTTGAGATGGAAAAACCGCAGCAGGAACACAACATGTTGGAGGAAGTCCTGACATCAATCAAAAATATCAAGGTGCGTACAATTAGGATTGCAAAATAATATCTAACAAATTTGCCAGCTGAAAAAAAAGTCCAATTTGATTAATAATTTTAATAAGTAATCGGTTTGCCACCATTAAGAATCTTAGTTAATCTTAGAGTTACTGTCAAGCAACATTACCTGCAGCATTGCCACTAGCAAGGCAGTACCTTATAAAATGTCATTTTAACAAGTTTATTTCCTGTAAAGTTTGAACATGTGTTTTGTTTTGTCTTTTTATCCCAGTGCAACCAAACTTGTATGCTTTCATTGTTTTTACAGTCAGAGTTACATCTCAGCATTTGTAAGCATTAGGTCAAAATAAATAATGAATTTATCTGAAGGTCAATAGTTCATCAATTTAGAATATCCTGAGCGTTGGCTGAGGCAAGACTGATGCAACACGCTCAGCCACTCAGTGATCACTTGCTGCCCGCCTGATATTGTTGGCAACCGAGTTATGGTACAACAACCGGGGCAACTTTGGTAAAAAATGTGTTTGTGAACTGAATTGTTCGAAAAGGGAGGTTTTTCGACAACCGAGGTTCTACTGCATATGTATAGTGTGTGTATATGCGTTCTTTGCAATATTATCAGATATTAATTTTAACATGCCTTCAACAATCACGGAAGTGTTGACATCAATCAGCTACTCGATTGGTGTAGCACGATCACGTGTCGAACCGTGCCACCGCTCGCGCACCAAAATCTTATTGCGCCCCGAAGACGCTAGTTCTTTATAAAATGCATCGATACAAAAAACGGGCAGGATATTTTGCGACGAACTTTTTGCGGAAAGTATAACGTAACTCGGTATTATGAAGTTGAGATCGTGTAGTTCCCAGACGTCGGAGCGGAATTCAATTTCTAAAGGACTTTTCGTGGTTCACACTGCGGCCTAATATGAGTTTTTTTTTACATATATTAAAAAATATGCTAATATCAGGCTAATAATGAGTCGGCCGATATTATCGGACATCCCTAGTTTTGGCTGCTTTTGTCATTGGTTTAAATACACTTATTTTGACTAACTTCATTTTTAAACGTTTTATTAATTATTGTTGGGCCTGTTATAGATACCTTCTACAGCCAAACACTTGAGATGGATTCCTCCCTTGAGATGGAAAAACCGCAGCAGGAACACAACATGTTGGAGGAAGTCCTGACATCAATCAAAAATATCAAGGTGCGTACAATTAGGATTGCAAAATAATATCTAACAAATTTGCCAGCTGAAAAAAAAGTCCAATTTGATTAATAATTTTAATAAGTAATCGGTTTGCCACCATTAAGAATCTTTATTGAGTTACTGTAAAGCAACATTACCTGCAGCATTGCCACTAGCAAGGCAGTACCTTATAAAATGTCATTTTAACAAGTTTATTTCCTGTAAAGTTTGAACATGTGTTTTGTTTTGTCTTTTTATCCCAGTGCAACCAAACTTGTATGCTTTCATTGTTTTTACAGTCAGAGTTACATCTCAGCATTTGTAAGCATTAGGTCAAAATAAATAATGAATTTATCTGAAGGTCAATAGTTCATCAATTTAGAATATCCTGAGCGTTGGCTGAGGCAAGACTGATGCAACACGCTCAGCCACTCAGTGATCACTTGCTGCCCGCCTGATATTGTTGGCAACCGAGTTATGGTACAACAACCGGGGCAACTTTGGTAAAAAATGTGTTTGTGAACTGAATTGTTCGAAAAGGGAGGTTTTTCGACAACCGAGGTTCTACTGCATATGTATAGTGTGTGTATATGCGTTCTTTGCAATATTATCAGATATTAATTTTAACATGCCTTCAACAATCAGTTTTTTGCCAGTCTCTTGTTAAACATTTACAGCATTGGACAATATGCTGCATTACGTTCCATCCGTGGCCCCTGCGCAATGGCACTGCGCCCACCTCCTTTCCCTGCCCACCTCCCCCCCAGGGGTGTGCCACTCACTTTGGGAGCCTGTGGTGTAGAGCATGTTGGCTAGTGAATCAAACTCAAATATTACCAAAATTAACTTTTGTCGGAGTCTGATAGAGATACTGTTTTCAACCTAATCGGATTAGCAAACTCGGTCGAGTTGATTTCATTTCTCCATTCAAAATTAGTTTTGGAAAAAGGAAGGAAGCATATATCTGTAGGTATCGGAATTGGAAATTTAGTGCTGGAGAGTATCAGAATATCAGGAAAAAAAGTCAATATTGATATATTGACTTTTATCTCTAATAATAATATATAATATCTCTAATAATGACCGATATTGTTCCTTGACCCCAGCAGTGAAAGTTATAATTTTTTCTCCACAGGCAAAGTATGACAATCTGATCCAAGAAAATACAGAGCTGAATAACACCAAAAAGGATAATGAGGAGATTATTCAAAAGTGTAAAAAGCGCTCCCTTAAACTTGCCCAGACTGTGGAGGAGAACCAGGAAATGTACAAGGAGCAGCTCGATAAGGAATTGGCAAGGCTTTTTTTTTTTTTTTTTTTTTAAAGTATACAACATGCCTTGGCAACAATTTCCCAATTGTTTGTTTTTTTAGCCTTTTGTTACTGTAACCTCTTTTCTTGATAACTGCAAGTCTTCATTTATTTATCGTTTACCAGTTTTGTTGGATGCATTAAACTGTTGATTTTATTTGGTACTCACTTTAGCCATTTCTGGTTCAATTTATAATTTAATCGGGCAAATATCTACTAATTATTTAACTAAGTCTAGCAAGGTGGACAACATTTTGACTAATATTCATATAATGTTTTGAATTTGCTTTTGGCTAACATTTAGCTCTCTGGTATATTTATGGCTATTTTACCATTTGTTTCGAATGTGATCTATTTGAACTAGCATCTGTTCTTTGCCATGTTTTAGTGTCTGCTAACTTGAATTGTTCTTTAGCAAAATTATAGTAAAAAAAATCTCCAAGCCACTTTAGTGTCTGAGCTAATTTTGAAAAAATGGCCGACAGTTTGGCCATTTTTAAGCTACTGCTAATCTACTTTATCATCAAGTTTTTATAACTAACTTTTTTTTTTGTTTTGAGTTTTTATTATTGGGAAGGCATAATCATTTATTGAATTAACTCTTTCAATGCTTCTCTTATAGTTAAAATCGAATTTGCTAAAGGAAGAGGAGTTGGCGCTGATGGAGGAAATCAAGAATGTTGAGAAGGCCTTTCAGGAGGAGAAGAATATAAATGACCATCTGAAACACCAGGCTCTTGTGTGTTAGACTATCAGTATGTAATGTACTGTATTTTTTTTTCTTCAGAATTGGTTCATGATATTTTTTTATTATGTCTTCAGGCCTTCTCCTGCTTGCCAGAGAAAAGGGTAGTTTTTACCGGAAAAAAGACAAACAACGTAGCCAAAGAAGAGAAAAAGTTTGACGTTAAACCACATATTATTTATCCAATGGAAGAAGGTACAGCACTGATCACGTTTGAGAAGGAAGTGGGTAAGATTTTTTTTTTGTGTAATGTAAAAAAACAAAAACTTGTTAAATAGACCTTGAGTTTATAAATCTCTGCCCCAGGTACTCACTTTAACACAGTGCCAACCACCAAATTTACACTTGACTGGTCCGGTTCACCTTAATGATCTTTCTCCACCATTTAAATATTACTTATTTAAGCAAGTTGTGCTGAACATGTCTATTTTGCATTGTAAAAGTATGGGCACTTTTAAACAGTTTTCCGTTCCCCCGAGACCAATGTTCTGAACAGAGTTGGCGCCTAAGGTGCACATTACTACACTACCCACAATACACTGCGGATATACACACACATATGCAACACGCTAACCCGCTTAAAGTTAAACCCACGTACACAAACAGTCACAACATAGTATATCCTCGACACAACCGATTTTATTTCAACATCACTGCGGACAGTGAGCTATTCAAAATACAAAACACACATACTCACACCCGCGCCACTGCACTTCCTAGTCCGGCAGCATAAAGTGTCCCAGTAGAACCGCGCATGCGAGAGGTCTTCTTTTGCGCTACATCTTGCGACAGGAAAAACTTCGTTCGGTGTAGTGGGTGAGTGATTATCTGTTTGTCGTTATCATTGCTCAAAATTTTAGTGGGTTCTGTCATGATTATAGATGTGTGAAAATATACAGTATATAGTTATTGGTTGTGTTCTAGTTATGGGAAATCATGTATATGTTTTAATAATCATCTTATATTTTGCAATACTCCATTGTTAACCCTGTCATAATGAGCTCAACCGTCTGTCGAATCACGGAGGTGGTATTGTGAGACCAGCCATGATGTATGGTTTAGATACAGTAGCAATAGGCAGAAGAAAGGAGGCGGAGCTGGAGATGGCAGAGTTAAAGATGCTAAGGTTCTCTTTAGGAGTGACAAGAATGGACAGGATCAGGAATGAGGTCATTAGAGGGACAACACAGACAGGAAGGTTTGGAGAAAAAGCTAGAGAAGCCAGATTGAGATGGTTTGGACATGGTGCAGTGGAGGGACAGTGGTAGATACATTGGTAGAAGAATGTTAGAGGTGGAGCTAAGAGGGGGGAGACAAAGAGGAGATTTATGGATGCAGTGAGGGAGGACATGCAGATAGTTGGAGAGTCAGAGTAGTAGATGCAGAGAACAGGGAGAGATGGAAAACAATGATTCGACAGAGCTGAAAGGAAAAGAAGAAAGAAGAAGCGCTATGTGAGGTCGTCTTTGCCTCCCGTGCGTTGAGTCGCTGCCAAAGTAAAACTAATGTCAGAAATGTTATCGTCAGTTAAACAAGTGTTTCAAATGACCAGTATCCCTGCATTCATGTCAAACATTGATTCTAGATCTGTGTTTCACAAGTGTCTGATACAAAACACTTGATGTGAAATACTTTTAATCACAGACCATGTGTCTTTCCATCACCAGTGGCTGGGAACATTCTGAAACTGAAGCAGCACCAGGTGGTTCTTGAGAAAGAATGCTTTATTACCTTGGAGGCACGTGCTGTTCACTTGCTGCTGCCCTCATTGGTGGAGGTAACTGTATTCATATAGATAGATAGACTGATGCCACAACTCCACACCTAGTTCTGTTTTCCTGCAGTCATTCATTATTGCAAATCATACCTAGTGACTTAATGCTGCCGGTAGCTCAAGAAGTTATAACTTGGGGCGGTGTTTTGTTTTGCTTTTACTTTCAAAAATGATGCATAATTGATGTATTTCCATGCATTTGGAAACAAAAGATGCTCTTGCAAGACCGCTGTTGTCCACCAGGAGCTATGAATGTAGGGATTTAACTATTAAAATAGGCTTTATGAATATATTTATAAAATAAATCAATAAAACTGAACCAAATCTAAATGTTCCCTTTGCAGATTGACACTGCGGTTTGTCCCAGACGCATATTAATATCCAATCTGCCTGAAATGAACACTGAGACTCTTCTCGACAAGCTGAACATCCACTTCCACAGTAGTAGACGTGGAGGCGGGGAGGTGGAGAGCTGCGAATTTCTGGCCGATTCTGGGACTGTGGTTCTCACGTTTGTTAATCCAAACAGTCAGTAGCAATTTTTTATTTTAATTGATATCATTAATGTCTGTAGAATACTTTCTAAACTTAGTTGTCTTAAATGTATTTAAGTCTTTAATCTTTAAAATATAATAATTTGTAGGCTATAAAGGAAATTATACTTTAAAAGGTAGAATCCATTTTCTGTTCATCCACTAATCCTAAACTGTCTGTATTGGCAGTTGCTGGAGGTTTGATAGAGGCCGAGTACCACGATCTAAAGCTGAACAACAATAAGGTGCACAGAATAAGAGTGACTCATTTTATGAATGGAGGACTTTCCGACTTTCAGGTAAAAATCAGTTGAAATCAGTTAAATTTTTTTTTGTCATTTTTATTGTGAATATAAACTTAACGATATGTAATGTTGAGTGGGAAAAGCAGAGCTGAGCTTTTGTTGATCAAGTATTAAAATATACCCTTTTTTTTTTTCAGGGGTTGCCCCAGCCGATCATTGATTTCCATCTCTCCCTGTTCTCTGTATCTTCTACTCTGACTCCAACTACCTGCATGTCCTCCCTCACTGCATCCATATATCTCCTCTTTGGCCTTCCTCTCTTTCTCCTACCTGGTAGCTCCATCTCTAACATTCTTCTACCAATGTATCCACTGTCCCTCCTCTGCACATGTCCAAACCATCTCAATCTGGCTTCTCTAGCTTTTTCTCCAAACCTTCCTGTCTGTGTTGTCCCTCTAATGACCTCATTCCTGACCCTGTCCATTCTTGTCACTCCTAAAGAGAATCTTAGCATCTTTAACTCTGTCACCTCCAGCTCCGCCTCCTGTCTTCTGCCTATTGCTACTGTCTCTAAACCATACATCATGGCTGGTCTCACCACCGTCCTGTAAACCTTTCCCTTCACCTTAGCTGACACTCTTCTGTCACAGATCACTCCTGACACTTTTCTCCAGCTGTTCCATCCTGCCTGCACTCTATTCTTCACCTCTCTTCCACAGTCTCCTCTGCTCTGAACAGTTGATCCTAAGTACCTTTCCTCCCGCACCTTCACGTACTCTGTCTTGCTGCGACTGACCTTCATTCCTCTTCTTTCTAGTGCAAACCTCAACCTCTCTAGGTTCTCTTCTAGCTGCTGCCGACTCTAACTACAGATCACAATGCCATCTGCAAACAACCTCATCTGTCAATCTGTCCATCACCAAAGCAAACAAGAAGGGGCTCAGGGCCGATCCTTGATGTAGTCCCACCTCCACCTTGAAGTCCTGTGTCCTTCCCACAGCACACCTAACTACTGTTGTACTATTTTCATACATGTCCTGCACCAAACTAACATACTTCTCTGCCACTCCTGATTTCCTCATAAAAAAACACAATTCCTCCCTTGGCACCTCCTAAAGTGTTTCTAGCCTTGCTGCCCTTCCACCTGGTTTCCTGCACACACAAAATGTCTACTCTTCTTCTCTCCATCACATCAGCCAGTTCTCTACTTTTCCCTGTAATTGTACCTACATTCAGAGTTCCAAACTTATAACATAAAACATTGAACACAGGCATGCTCTTCTCCAATCATCATGGACTTTCTTCTTTACCTGAATTACTAAAAACCACAGAACACGAACTGAAAAGACTGCTTACGAACAGCTACAATGATCCCATGAAAAACAAGGGTGAGGGAGAGAGGAATATATACCAAGGGCACCAGGTGAAACGAGTGAGACTAATGAACAGAGACACAGGTGAATGTGATCGCACTAACTCCAGCTCGGAAACAAGACAGGAAAGGGAAAACAGACAGCCTCTTTCTATTGTCTAAATCGAGTCCTCCTGCCAGTCCTTCTCTTACGCTTAGTGGTCACTTTGTCCCGCTGTCTTGCTCACTGTCAGTCAGTGGTTTATTTTTCAGTTAACGCAGATTGTTTTTCCCCGCATTAAATGTTTTACTCAGTTTTTGACACTCCTCAAAAAATGAAAAATTACTCAAAAAAAAAAGACTCAATTACTGTAAATGCAGTTTGTTACTTTCCACCTGTGTATATATCTATATATGTATGTATGTATATATGTATATATATGATATTAGAATTATTAGCAGACAATAGATGTATGTATGAATATCATTCTACTGTTCATTAGAACATAGAGTACACTGTCAACTCCTTATCCCCTCCTCCTACTGTAACACCCCACAAAAAAAAGTCAGACCATTTTTGTCAGCGATTATTTGTCATGATGTCATCCCCTCTAGGCCAAGATGGTTCAGTGTCCTCGGACAATTCTTTTGACTGGAATCCCTCCTGTTATGGCCCAAGAGACCCTGCAAGACATGTTAGAAATCCACTTTCAAAGAAGCAGCAACGGTGGGGGAGAGATTGAAGCCTTACTCTACAACCCAGTGGCTCAGAAGACCTCAGCAGTGTTTGAGAGCATTGATCCAAATGAGGAGGAGCAGTAAACAAACAAATTGTGTTTGATGATAAAACATTTTTGACCAATACAGACACGATTTACAGGCATTGCTCTGGGGTGTTATGATACTGTCAACTCACGATATGCTACAAATCATCGTTTTTTGTTTTGTTTATGATACGATTTTATTATTAACAATATGAGCCCCAGTCACATTTGACCAAATGCCATTTGACATGGCGGCTGGTGGATTCGAACCTGCAACCTTCCGGACCCAAGTCTGCTTCCTTAACCACTAAGCCACCACTGTATATGGGGGTTTCCTTCAATCCTGTTCCTGTCTGTCCTGTTTCCTGAGTTAATTACTCAGTTCAGTTTTGTTGCATTTCCTGCCTGTTCTGATATCCATATCCTGTTTTGAGTATTAGACTTTGTGATTAAAGAAAACTGTACCTGATCCCAGTCACATGAGTGCTACTTTTGGTTCCGGTCTGCCCACTCATAACAGCAACCTCCTCTGTTCCTGCAATACTGACTCTCTTTTCAGGTCAGCTACTCTGAACAAAACAGAGTAAAAATGTATGAAATAAACAATATGTATACAGTATGTGTCCTCTTCGATATGGTCAACAAAAAACGAGTGGCATTGAGTGGAAGGACTCGAAAGGAAACAGAAACGGCAGGACTTAGGATTTGACACTTTTCAGTCTTGACTTGGATTCGACTTGGACTTTACCTATTTTGACTTGAGACTTGATTCGGACTTGAGTGCAAGGACTTGAGACTTGCTTGTGACTTGCAAAGCAATGACTTGGCCCCACCTCTGGTAGGTATAGTAGGTGCCACAACATTTAGTGTCTTTAAACAGGAATCCTCTGTACATCAGTTTGTTTACAGAGAAGAGTAGCTAATATGTTTTAATCAGAATGACTGCAGGGTAGCTGCGGATGAATAAACCCAAGTTTCACCCCTCCTCTTTTGCGAGTAATCCAAATGATGGAAGTATAAATATGGCAAAATGTTAAGAATATGATGATAGCTGATCAGTAGATGACAGCATCTGGATTTTGGTTCGTTGTCATTGTCCTCAACTATATTTACCAGTGCCTCATAACTGATTTGATAAGTGGTGAAGCAAACTGAGCATCAGACGTGATGGTTAAGATTATGTTTTAAACTTGAGGATTTGCTGCGGTGTGAGGGACTTCAGAATTGACTTGGGATCGGATTTTGAGACTCCTGAACATTCATTATTATGTTTTCTTCATTTGGCATATTAGTATTGGGGAGATTTTGAAACATCTAACTAGCTTCTTTATTTTTATGTCATGACAACCATGTCAACCGTTTTACGTGGTTGCGCACCTCATGTACTCATATGATAGTAACACTATCACCACTGACACACCTGCAGCTAGGGTTGTCAACTTTCCAGTTTTGGGCTAGATGTCTATGTCTATGTTTTGTACTGTACGGGAGGGTCCCCCAAATCCCGATCCGTAGGTCATTAGTACCGGACCACAGCAGGACACAGTGAAAAAATTTACTTCAGTTTTACTAAACTACTTCATTCAAAAATAATCCAGTCATATCCCTGTACTTTTACTTTCCAAAGATAATCTGACAATGCTTCAAAACAATAGGTCATTCAGACGTCATTACTAACAGAATAAAGTCTCTCTTTTTTTTTTAAAATATAATGATCCGTCAACAATGGCTTGTTATTACGAGTCCGCAGTGAAGGCTGATACTGGCCGACCAGTCCTTGGTTCAAAAAAATTGGGGGCCGCTACCATACAGGACGGCATATGTTCCGTTTTTCTCTGTCCCTATAATTACAGTGGTCCCTCTCTATATCTCCTATTGCTCCCTCAGTACATCACAGATTCATTATATTTGGGTAAAAAAAAACATTTTCTAACCTAAAAACTGTTTAAGAATTAGCAAAAAAATAAACTAAAAGACAGTTTTGCCCGGCTTTCATATACGGTCCATCCAAATGTATGTCTTTTATTTCCATTCTACAACTATACTGTGCATATAATTGTGTGGGTAATACAGTTTAGAGAGGGTTGATAACACTGTGGGTGAGGTTTGTAAAGGGTAAATATATATGTAAGTAATATAATCCAATATATCTCGCCCTCGCCTCGTCGGATTTTCCCTTTTCGCGGTGGGTCTTGGAACGCAACTACGGCAATAGGAGAGGGATCATCGTATATATTTATATTTCACCATTGGTGGTCTGCTTTGTTAACTGTCGTTGGATTTGACGCGATAATATCGAGCCAATCAAATTGCGGGACAACCAATGAGAAAGAGCTGTCGAACAGTGCGCGGGTTAGAGAAAACGATACCAAAGATCGTGTTGTTCGGATTTAAAAACTACGATATGGTCAACAAAAAACAAGTCACAAGTCATCGTTAATATTTGAATAAATGTATTTACAATATCAGTTAACGAGGCAAACATCAGCCGATACCCGTGTTCGTCAGATACATCGGTGCATATCTAATGGTTGCCTTACAGCCATGTGGTGTTCACGCACCACATGGCGTGTTCATGCATATCTAATAGTTACCTATTTTCAAGCAAAGAAGTACAAGAAAATCTTCATAGCTAATAAAACATTTTATACAGTACAAGTATATTAGAAAATCTTCATAGCTAACAAAACATTTTATATAACACTTAGACAAGTGTAAAGACAACTTTACTCTTTAAACAAGTATTTCCACAAATACAAAAAGCTTTAAGTCATAGGTATTTTAGTACCAGAGTTTTGCCTCTTCTTTTCTGATGAAAACAGTGCTCCCTTCAAATCTTTCAAAATTCATCAGGGAGACCGGATTGAACCCCTTAGTGGGCCGATTTTGGTATGTTTGACACCCCTACCTAAGGAGGAAGGGTACAGAGTCTATAATAGACCCTTCCTCCTCAGTGCCGACTTAGAGACATTTGTGGCTTAAACAAAAAAAAAACAAACCGAAGAGAGGTGGGGGGAGATAACAGCGGCTGCAGTATGATTCGAGTCTATCCTTGGCCAGATGGTGTGCCTAAAATAACATCCCGCCTTAAGAGACTATCAGCAGAGCAGGACAGGAGCCTCAGTCCCCGTTCCCGACTGGAATCGACTCCTCTCGTTCGCAACAAAGAATCGGCTCCTTGAGCCGTCTCGTTCGCACACGACTACGTCACTAATCGAGTGTGCAAATTGCAAAAGGGTGGGAACGTTTTCCAGCAGACTAGGTGGCGGTGTTCGCAGATTTTACAGTTGTCTAGCAGCTGTGCAATACGATGAAGAAGAACAAAAAGTTTACTCTGTCTCGGTAAAGATACAGTTAAGTTCCGTGAGACCCACGAAGCTGTTACCGTAAAAATGTCGCTGCGGTATTTGGACAAAGTGGCCATAGTAACTGGAGGATCGAAAGGCATTGGCAAAGGCACCGTTCGAGTGTTTGGTAGGAGAGGAAGAGATTTTTTTTAAATGTTTTTATATTTTATAAAATGTCTATAAAATTATAGTTTTGCCCTTAACATGAGTTCAGGTCTTTAATTATGTAAATGTCATTTATTTTAGTGCAAAATGGAGCCAAGGTGGTGTTTTGCGCCAGAGGACGTGAGTTGTATAGATTTCATTTCTTTTATTTTTCCTTTTAAAAAAGAGGGTCAATAAATTATCTTTTTTTTAATGAGGTCAATAATCATTTTTTGTCTTTGACTTTAAATGTATTATATGTTTATGTTTCTATTTAATGGGTAGTTTGTTTTAATCTTACATTTTCTACTATTCTACTTTTTTCTTTTTTTGTAAACTGTTACCTACACCTGTTAACATTGTTTTAGTCCTGTATTTAAAAATCAATTTTAAAATCCAGTTTTAATTATGGTTATTCGTTGTGTTGATGTTTATATTAACACGATTGTAGATTGTTGAATGTGACTCAAACACTGAAGCCTAATTTGGCTTTTGGCTCTCTACCATTTCTACAGGTGCAGATGGCGAGACTCTTGAGGCAGAGCTAAACAAAGAAGGACCTGGCAGTTGCACATTTGTCTCATGTGACATGTCCAAAGAAGACAACATCGAGGTAAGATGCGGACAAGCCAGTTGGACCTCATGTTCCTGTTTCACTTCTCGTCCAAGGCTGACTTAAAAGACTTAAACAAAAACAATGATATGTGAATTTAGTTTTAAAAACCTGTTTATTTCATTCTTTTGAAATAGAACTGTTTTTACACACTGACCAAAGTTGGCAATGCCAGCATAAAAAGGACAGGTTTAAAGGGTGAAAGTTTGTGTCTGGGCAGGGCCGGGGGGTCCACTGAGTGTGGGGCTGCTACTGCTGCTCTAACAGATTGAACAGGCGACAGCAAAAATGAGAGCCAGAATAATAAAAAAATAACAGTAATAAAATAAAAATTAATGCCCGCCCCTTTTACACTGCCTTTAACTAATCCTTTTTTGACACAGCATTAAACAGTATGCTGATTCATTCTATCCTTACCCCATCTACTGGCACTGGACCGCCAGTATGCTGATTCATTCTATCCTTACCCTATCTGCAATGGCACTGGACCACTCATAGGGGGTGCACCCTCCTCTTTGGGAACCTCTGCCTTAGCGGGTGATGAGGCTTTTATCTGCTTACCATTGACTGTTTTATGTGTGTACTCTCTCTCTTTTTTTATCTTTCTGTTCTTTGCTCTACTTTTATAACAAGCTGATTGGAAAACATGTGCCTCAGCAGATTATGCTGGTTTGAAAACAAGTCTGTAAAGGTCAAATGCTGTGAACATACAAAAGGTTACTTTATAACTCGTCTTGAACACTTTGTGTTACCCATGTTGCCCATTTTAGAACTTCTAAAATAATCCCAAGAGTTAGAATGAATTCTGTTAAAAGGAAAAAGAAGAACTCATATTATCGGTGATGCGGAAAAAGCATTGGCCGTTGCACTGAAACGCACAATTCCAGCAGTGCTCTGTGAAGTGAGCGTATGTTTGACATTGGTACATCACTACTGCAACACGTCAGCAAAGAGACTTTTGAATAAATACAAAGAGTATTTAAATTAGTAGTTAAATTATAATTTCACACAGAAACCGCCTTGTGTAATTTGAATGACATTTTCCTAGTAGTACACAGGCCACTGCAGTATTATTCAGACATATAAAGAGACAACTAACGTCTAGGAAGCTGATCATACAAATCTATTGTCTCTAATAGATTGTGATGGCAATAGCATGAGTAGCTGTCACTGAGCCAACGCTGGACAAATTATTGTCATTAATATGCATCACTCACTTCATACATAAGCACTCGTGTTGTGGGAGGGGGGTGGGGAGGGTTGCCGGTTGTGAGGAATGCCCTCTGCCATTGGTCAGTCGGTCAGTCAGTGACCTTAAGCAGAACCAGCAGAGCCTCCCTGTGTGTGGTGCAGAAGTTAGGCTTCCCTGTTTGTACTATATTTGTTTGTACTTGTATTTGGTCTTAATTTGTTGCCACGTCCTTTACATCCCTGTTGGGTTACACCTGGATTGACATTTAAAAATGGGCAGGTGTGGGGTGAGAGAAATCACAGAGATATATGTATTAATATTTTTGTACACTAAACAGTTCTGCAATTAACGAGGATGAATCACTTTCTCATCGGTACGCACTCAGTCACTCACTGTCATTTGTTGCGAAGCCTTTTCCCTTTCTTTGGTGGCTGTAACGGTGTAAGTCCTTTTTATTTAACAGGGTAGCGAAATTGTTATAGGCATTCAAAAGGATTTCTTCCATGACTTTTTTTCTTTTCTTCAAATGAACTAATTTGTGAAAGTGAAAGTGAAAGTGAACCAAAGTGAACAGTGGGGAGCGGTGTGTGTGGGGACATTGCCATGCTCAGAGCACCTTGTCTGCTGGACTCTTGGAGCCTTCCGGACCCAAGTTCACTTCCTTAACCACTAAGCCACCACTGCCCCACAACTTAACTCAACAGGAAAGTCAGAGTTGGACCTCTCCGGCTTCCGCTTCAAGAAACGGACGCTTGGCCACCTCCAATAAGTAACAAAGCAATAACATGTTTGCCATAAAAACAAACATTATCCTAGGAGTAGCTGAAAGTAGCCGGGATTATTTCAAAAGCAAGCCAGATGTCTTATTGCATATTAGGTTAAGAATCAACAACATGGATTTCTGTGCTTTGATATGTATATATACTGCAAGGTTAATTGTTTCTTAAGAAAGTAAGTAATATTATATACTGTATATATTACTGTTCCTTGTTTAATGTGTATGTATGGTTTGTTCTGCAGAGACTGATCAACTTCACAGTAGAACGTCATGGACGTATTGACTGCCTTGTGAACAATGCAGGGTGGCGTGAGTTTCTACTGCTAAATACTTTTTTCCTTCTTTGAAAACTTCTGTCAGTAAAATACCATATATATATATATATATACTGTACATATATACATATTTTTCTTTCTATTTTGTGTGACTTTTTTTGGTCAAAGACACAGGTAAACCAAAAACAAAATGTAACAAAGTTAAATTTGCCAATGAAAGTAGTGGTGGATCAACTTATGTCCAATTACAATTTTTTTTTTTTATTTCCATAGATTTTGTACAGGAAGGTCGCATCAGCCTAAAAATGCATAATGAAGAAGACAAAAAACACATAAATCGCCCTAAAATACAAGTTGCACTAGTGCCCTCTAGCGGCTGTCAGTGTGAAAATAACGAACATGTAAATCTACAGAGGTACAGGAGTAGCAGAAACTGATGCATTAGCCTAGAGTGCCCTCTAGGGTGTTCAGGCAGAAGCAATGACAACATTCATCTTACATCCTTACGCCATTCTGTTTCATCTTTCATCCACTTTGTATTCTCTTTATTTTAGACCCACCTCATAAACCTATTGACCAGACCACAGCAGAGGAATTTCGGGATTTGTTGAACCTGAACGTTGTCAGCTACTTCTTGGCTTCTAAAGTAATATTTTTTGTAAATTGTATGCATAAAAATGTAATGCAATGTAATGATCTAAACCTTTATGAATATTTAGAACATTGTAACCATGATCTGCTTCTATAGTACAAATGTGCTCACTGAATTTAGGACTGATCTGATTTAAACAAAGGTCTTGTGTATTCTTCAGTATGCTTTGCCACACCTGAGAAAGTGCCAGGGGAATATCATCAATGTTTCCAGTCTGGTGGCTACAATTGGGCAGATTGATGCTGTGAGCTATGTTGCCACTAAGGTGAGTACAATTACGAGGCAAGATTGATGGTCTGATTGTCAATTAGGCCTTGTGTATGGCGTATGATGTGATGTATTGTCTTTTGTACAAGGGGGCAATTATCTCCATGACGAAGGCAATGGCTGTAGATGAAAGCCAATACAATGTTAGAGTCAACTGGTGAGAAACCTTAAATGTGTAAATGAAATACAGCACATTGTTCAAGACAAAATCAAAATACTTACTTCTGTCTGTACATTTTAAATGTATTGTCTTTTTGCGTGTATACTGATGAAACTCTTGTGCGGGGTGTTACAGCATCTCACCAGGGAACGTGATGACACCTCTGTGGGAGGAGTTAGCAGGGCAGACGGCAGATGCTGCAGCTGCCATTAAAAATGGACAAAATTGTCAGGTAAGTTCACGCACCCTACAGATGCACAGAGGAGCCTTTTTTTTTAGAAGTTACTTTGGCACATTTTTGGCTAATACCTGGTTGATACTACCATGGTTGCTGGGGGGGGGGTCTCTAATGAAGTTTAAAAGACATTAATTTGAACATGTCTTCAAATAAAATGTAACATTAGCTGCTCTACCAAAACATTTTTACAATGTATTAGAAAACAAATCTTTTGACTCTTATTCTTTTAATAAAGTGCTTTTTTGATTATTTTAAGATGACAAACTGCAGAAAATATTGACGTGTTCAAAACGAGGCAGTTCCAAAAAGTCAAGATTTGTGTTGAGATGAACTAACTTCAATATGAGCAAAAGATGGAGTGATAAAAGACTTACATAGTAAGATCACTTGTCAAAAAACTAGACCAATGGAAGCACTGTAATCACATGTACATACTAAGTATGTCGTGTTAGGTGATCAGAGGTCATTTTATCTAAAAGTCATGCTTATTTTCATGATGAGGAAACTTGGATTTGTTTTGCGATTAGATAAGAGTTGATATTGGTATGGACAGTGTGTTGATCAAATTTTCTGGCAAACTAAGCTAAAGTTATTTAGTGAACAAATTCAATTGTATCTTCAAGAGATAAATTACAACAAATTTTAATTCTGTATCGTCTAATGAATTGAGTTGTTTATTTGATGAGCTGACGGTGCACATGGCAAAAGGGCAAAAGGTACAGTATAAGGGGAGGCACGACAGTTGTTCCATTAAATGGTTAGGAGAAATTGGGAACCGATGAACAGATGTCAGGAAGTCAGTCGGGGTTGTGGTAAGCAACAGGCGCATGAAGTATGTTTTTGAAAAAGAATTATGTGTTAAAGGTCGCAAAAAAAAAAAAAGCTGATTTGTAAGAGTTATGAACAACAAGACCTTGTCATGTAACTGTGAGGCTGAACTGGCCAATAGAAGAACTGTAGGCACAGGAATGTACATATACAATATCTAGTGCCTCTGTATACAACCTAAAACTCAATTTGGAGAAGTGCACCTTTGCACCTCATAAGAGAACAGCATCAAACACTCAACCATTTTTAATTTTAGGGGTCAATTTCTTTCTCTACTACAAACAAAATAAAATGTGACTTTTACACGTTGAATTATAACTTCTTTGTTTGAAACCATACGATAAAATTGCATCGATTTTTGATTACAAAAATTTCAACGCGGGGCACATGGCGAAAACCTTTTTTTTTTTTTTTTTTTTTTTTTTGAAGATGTTTCAACTCATCAGAAAAAGTGATTCTCCAGGGCTTACACCCCCAGCTGGAGTGTGTGTGAGGCTTCTGTGGAACTTGATGCTACCCAGATGAGCATACTCCTTAAATAACTCAATTGCCTCACCACAAGCTCTTCAGACAGGTACTCATCTCAGGTTTCTTTAGTAAGGTCACCTTGGTTCCCTGGTAATCTCACAAGAATCACACCTTTTCGTGAGAAACATCAAGAATACCCAAAAAACTACTCTGTCTAGTTGCCCTCAATGTAATGTAAATTTTTGGATTGAATGACCTGGATGATTGTGAACCTACTCAGACATTTGTGTATCCCTGTTTAACAAGAGTTTCTATATTTTTTTATCATCTGACCATAACAGTGGAAAAGGAATTTGAGATGCGGCTCCAAAGTCATGTAGATAAAAGAGAAACAATAAGCCCTAAAACAGATGCAGACCTCTGTCTACAATTCATTTTTGACATATCTATATCTATATCTATGACAATAATGGCGGCATGCATGGACACATCGGCTTCTCTTCACAACAACCGAAAGCTGTGGAAGCAACATTCCTGAAAACTGAAAAGCAGCCCACGAAGGAACCTATGTAGAAATAGTCCTAAATGAGACCAATTCATGAGACTGTGATGACCTGGATGACTGTGAACCTACACACACATTTGTGTATCCCTGTTTAATAAGAGTTTCTATATTTTTTTTATCATCTGACCATAACAGTGGAAAAGGAATTTGAGATGCGGCTCCAAAGTCATATAGATAAAAGAGAAACAATAAGCCCTAGCATAGCAGGATAGCTGCTGCTAAGCTCACCAAGGATGTTTTGGGCAATTAGGGGCACTGTACCTAACTGCACCAAACACCTGCTGAGTGACTACGCCAGTATGCCTCGTCTGGAATAGAAGCCAGGTTTCTGTGGAGTGACTCACCACCCCTGACATGGAGGAGGAGAGACGAGTCATCGAGGAAGACTACTATGTCAATAATCTCCTTAAGTCTACAATGACCCGCAGTGCCTAGACGAGATCCTAGGGGGTTAGAGGAGATAAGAGGAGATTAGAGGAGATTGAAAACAGGATCTGGGTGCGATCTAGTCAAAGTGGGAGGTGGGGTGGGGGAAGAGTACAAGCCAATGACTCTGATGTGTTGCCTAACCAGCTAGGGGTGGAAGAAAACAAAGCTCTGGGGTTTGGCTACCTAGTGCAAGAGGATAAGCTCTTTTCGTCAACTGCTCTAGAAGGAAGAAGATGAGCTGATGAACTGAAATTGACTTCAGTGAAGAAGAAGTGGAAGTAAAGACACCAGATCCACCGACTGGTCATGTTCTACTGAGCCAGATTGGTGGGCTGTATGACCCAATTGTTCTAGTGCAGGCGTGGTTACATTTTTGTGGGTAAACTTTGACATGGGATACATCAGATGGTGTGATCACCTGGTTAGTGTAGTCTAGGGCCAAATGAACTAGCCTCGACCAGGAAGGTGATGAGGTCATGGGCGTTGGACATGTAAACCACTTCATTGACAGACAGACCAAACTGGAAGCCATCCAGAGAGATAGTCATGGGTTCCATGTGTTCTTCACGTTGTAGATCACTGCTAACAAGTGGAGCGAGTTTTCACGTGCCACAGCTATGGCTCTTTTTTTTTTCCTGTATTGATCAGTTGATCTGTTTTACATTTGCCCCTTCCTAGTGCCCCCCAACGTTGATTAAAACAATTCTGGTTTGTTTTTGTTTTTAACAGCTCTTTGGTCGAATGGGGACAGAGGAAGAATGTGGACGGGCTATCTTGTTTCTTGCAGTTGATGCAACATTCTGCACAGGCATCGACCTCCTCTTCAGTGGAGGAGCTGAACTCAACTATGGCTACAAGACACGTATTCTGTCCTGACCTAGCTGTGATCAAGATCTGAATATAAATCTCACTGGGGTCATACACTTCGCAAGCAATAAAAGCCTTAAACACATGGTCAGGAAAATTTATTTTGTGTTTACTGTTTACTGCTTCATCATAATTCATGTTATACAGCATATATGTGTGTGTATGTAAGCCCGGCTAAATGGCGAGGGTTGCGTCAGGAAGGGCATCCGACGTAAAACTTTTAGCCAACACTGCTAATAAGTGAATCACTAAAATTGTTTTCATACCGGATCGGTCGAGGCCCGGGTTAACAACGACCGCCAACAGTGCTGTTGACCAACAGGGCACTGATGGAAATTGGGCTACTGTTGGTCAAAGACAAAGAAGAAGAGGAGGGCGTTTGGTTAGGAGAAAAAGAGAAAAGACGAAGAATAGAAGTGTTGGTCTGAAGTTTGGAACTTTTAATGTAGGTGCAATGACAGGGAAAAGTTGAGAACTGGCTGATATGAGAAACAGATAACCACAAACAGCAAACATTGGTGAGGTCTAGTAAGCATGGAGGACACCCAGCTTCAAATAAAAGGCCTGCAGCCTGCCAGGTAGCTCCACCCCCACACACAGGAAACACCTGACAACAATAATGAGACAGAACACAGGCAGAGCAACAAAAAACAAACAAACTGGAAGCTACACCACCCATAGGTGAAAGAGGGATGTAACACCTCCACACCGAAATCGTGACTTTAGTCTCCATAATTTGACTAGGACATTACTATAATGAGTTGTGTTGTATAAATAAGATACAGCCATACTGCAATAATAACACAAAGGTCAACCACACTATACCCATCAAAACACGCTCACACAGATATCCGTGGAAACGGGCCTTCTGCATCATGAAGGACCCCACCCACCCCGCATCTTGCATCTTGGTGTTCACAGAAACATGGAAGAACTATTCTCTGTACCTTTCTACTGCGTCGGTTGAGCTTTTTTTTTTTTTTTTTTTTTCGAAAATGAATAAAGTACTATCCTATCCCATTTCCAAAACAAGCAGCTCCTTCTGGCATAAATCCATTCACTAGTAAGACATGTTGCTTCACTGTTTTGCCTGTCAGAGGACCAGCTTGTAGGACATTGTTCACATAGTACCGGTTTTTAGGATGTATGATTGGACAATGATGGCAATCTGGTGGCAGGATTTTTTGAAATGTCAATTCTCTTCTTTTCCGGTGCCTGTGAGTGACGCAGCAGTAAGCAACAGGCATTTACAATAATAAAATAAATAATAAAACTGCATGCATCCGATCAAACCTTACAAATTAATAAATATAACTAACACTTTTATCATGACCAATGTCTTACTCTTTTGACTGAAATGTTACTTGGTCTCATGCCAAATCTACCTGAAAACTTCTTACTTTATGATAAATAGCGGCAAATCTTGACATGGAGGAAGTAGAGAGCCAAGCACTAAGTCACTGATTCCGATATGTGGACGACACTTGGGTCAAATTAAGGTACATACAGGAGGTCAATAAATTTACCGTTCAAATCAACGTGGTGGACAGGAACATCAAGTTCACCAGAGAAGATGAAAAACAACAACGTTGCTTTCCTGGACTGTGCGGTTCACATCACTGAGGACAAGCAACTCAACATCGAGGTGTACAGGAAACCCACACTGACCAGTATCTCAGTTTTGACTCACTGGAGCACAAATTAGGAGTAATCAGAACCCTACAGTAGTGGGCAGACATCATTCCCACCACCAACAGAGGAAAGACAAGGGACAGGGACACATTAGGACAGCCCTCAAGACCTGTGGTTATCCCAGATGGGTCTTTTTAAAAACCAACAAAAAGAGGCCCGCAGAGAGGGAGGACAACAGGAGGGGGAACATCACCATGCCATACTTTGCAGGGGTTTCGGAAAAATTTGGGAGGATCTTTAACAAGCACCAGATTCAAACCTGGAAATACCCTAAGACAAAAACTGGTTCATCCCAAAGACAAGACAGAGAAACAAGCTGGACAATGTGGTATATGCCGTTTACAGATGTTGTTTGGGGAGACCAAACAACTGCTACACGGACACATGGCTCAACAAAGTAGAGCAAACTCCTCAAGACAGGACTCTGTTCATATACACCTCAAGGCCAAACACACACTCCTTCATGGACAACAATGTTCACATTTTGGCCTGGGGGGATAGATGATTTGAGAAAGGGCTAAAATAAGCCATTTTTGTCAACCTGGAAAAGACATCAGTTAACACGGGAGGTGGGCTAAGACACAACCTATCACCTGAATATAAGGCACTCTTAGAAGCAATACCCAGAAGATTCACCTCCCATCTGCCAGTTTCACTCATCAAAGAGACATGTAACCGAAACCACTCTAATGAGGATTGCAATGACCCATCAGACTCCTAATGACTACTAAAACTTTCCCAGTTGACCCCAACGGCCCACCCAACTGGAGGGACCTGAAGTAGCTTAGACAATCTTCTTACTTCATACAAAACATATAATGACATGAAGTCCTTTTTTTTTTAACATAATTCATAAACCAGGACAGATTGAAACCCTCTAATGTACTTTGTGTTGCATTTGTGGCTGTATTATGCTTCCTGGGTTTGTTGCTTTAGTAATGGCATTGTTAAGGCCACATGCCACGACTTGTTTTTCTACATTTATGCGTATCATGGGTTGTTTATTTAGACATTGAGGTGTCACAGGGCGCAGACAAAAAGAATCAGGAGGGAGGGAGACAAATGCAGTTGCTACAAATGTTTTGCAAATGCAATGCTTTTTTTCTCACACACACACACACACACACACACACACACACACACACACACACACATATATATATATATATTCTTCATCTATTTATTTTACTGTAAATAAAGACAATAAGAGATTGGTTCTTGTTCTTGAAATTTAGATCGGCATTTGTTTTTGTAGTTTTACTTAAAATATTTTTGTAAAACTAATTTCACATAATTAAAAAGTAATTTTGCTTTACGGATTTTATATTTTGTTGTCTGATTCTTTCTCTAAAGGTTTCAATGTAAATAGAATATTTTATTGATATACATACAATATGAGAATGACTATTTTTTAATCAAATAGAAACTTGTGTTTGTATTTTAATTTAAAATAATTTTGTAGCAATTCACTTCCATATTGAGTTGGATCCATATACTGTAAATAGGAAATATTTGTCTGTTTTATACATGAGTAATTGTAGACAAAATCTTTTATGTATTTTTTTTGTTGTAAAAATCTAATCCGGGGAGCCACTTGGAAGCCGAAAGAGTCGGATACTTTTAGCGAGCCGAGCTCGCTTAAAGAACCGTAATTATCACGAGACTACATACTCAGTAATTCTAAACTGTGCGCCTGACAGCGGAGAACCATGGTGCATTCAATGCACCCAGGAAAACAGATAGACTGCAGGGCGCATTTTATCTGTTGACAAACAATTCTCATTAAGTCATATGTTATTAAGTGTAGTTTGTTGCATACCCTGTCATTTATTCGTTAACTTAACAAAGTTAACAAAGCAAACGTTTTCTTTATTTTTTATTGCAGTGTTGCCAAAAACTCAAGTTGCAAAGTGAATGAGTGTTATAATATATATAAGATATAATGAACCGAAAAGAACACCACTAGTTCATGTTCCACCACAACACTCCAGGCCAAATCATTATCTTATCCGATTTGGAAAATCCATTGTTTAATTACATTACTTTGGTGACGGTGCTTATCGACATGTGACCGACCGACTATAATACCACCTGAAACACTCCCCTCCTCTGAACCAATCAGTCTCTCTTTAACCTCATATAACCTTCTTTTGTGGGCCTGACTCTGTCCACCAATGACGTGTCACACTTTTCGGTTTTCCGACGTGAATCGCGCGTCATATTACAAAGCGGAACTGAGTTTGACTTTGAGCTGCGTTAGTTTCCACACGAGCAGATAAACAGGGGCGTCATTACGCGTTGGAGATAATGGCAGGACTTCGGACGGTAAGTTTAATGATCTATCCTGTGTTATCTCTCTGTTTACAATCATACAGCAGGTAAATCATTTACCTTTTCGCCAAACAGTGAATCAAGTACTCACAACGCCGACATCGCAGACACCCTCGTCGGTGTTGCGCTGAACAAACTGCACCACAAAGGAGCAAAACCTCGCTGGGACAAAATTAAATTAGAAATATCTTTCCAAGATAGCGATTGCATACAAGACACGAAACGCGACTTTATGGTCTTCTGTGTGTTTTTAACTGAAATCCTGGTCCAGTTTGAACCAAGTGTGACAGCAAATAAATGTAAATACATTTATTTTCTTTAAACAAGAGTTTTCGACGAGGAAGTAAAATTGCGACACAAAAAAGGACATGTGTCCTTTTGTGTCCATGCCGACACAAGACCAGTAAACTGGCCAACTGGCCAATTGCTACTCGGGGCGTTTTCTTTTTTGATATATAACAAAATAATTCCACCATTGTTTCAGACTTTTCAGCGTTCTTAGTCGGTAAGATATACGAGTAAGAAGCAACTCCACTCGAATTTAATCCTCTGCTTACTACTATGTTGTATAATTATATCATGTAATACATTTCACGTGATTTGTACGCAGTTGTGCTGTGGAAAAAAATGCATCGAGTTGCGTCATACAAAACGAGCTGTGACCCACAGTTTGACGAAACTGCTCACCATACCTTAAATAATCCGTAATTATAGTGCAATAAACTAATACTTACAATATAAAACAATAACCATGATAATAGAGATAACCCACCTTTAGACACTAAAACAAAGTAAAAAGTAAAAGACTAGAAGTAGTTGGCACTTAGCCACAGAGAGAATTAATAACACCAGTTGGCCCCAAACCCTTAGTTCAAATGCAATAACATGAAGGGCATATTTCTAAAACAACAACAACAACAAAACAACTATATTTTGGAAATGATAATGACAGTTTTTATTTGAATTTCTTTCAACATTTTCCAAAAAAAACCCCCAAGAAACTTAACTACTATAACTACTCCTAACTACTATGCTGCTGGTTATAACATTTAATTTCATTCAATTAAGTCCTGACCAGTTGTTAATGTGAACACCACGATGAATCTTGAACACCTAATAGACCTCTTTTGTTTTAACTGTTTTAAAGTATCAAGATATTCCTTTTTTTATTCTTCAGTTCTTTGAAGCTCACATTCACTAGCCGAGAGATGGAAATCAATTATTTGCTGTGGCAACCCCTGAATAAGGGACAAAGCCGAAAGAAAAAGAAGAAAAAAAGAAGATTCACTAGCTGATGTTAGTATGTCGTTGGATGGAAAGTATTTTACAGTGTGCCAAGAAAGCCCTGGAGTTAATGAAGTTCATCCATCTAGATATTCTAATTTTTTGTTTTATTTCTAAAAACAATCCCTAGAAAATTGGTGCAAACATAATGCCCTTGTTTTAAGAACCCACGCCATGATTGTATAAAAACCATCTTTAGAAGGACTCTAGTGTATAGTATAATGCATTAGTGGCAAGACAAGGTACAATTAAGCCAAAAAGTATCCTACACCTTAAATCTTTATTTTTTTAAATTTATACAGTAGCTCTTCACTCAATAAATTGGACCAATTTATAAATAGGAAGGTCTGCAGTCACACTTCTTTTAATTTAGAATTACTAACTAAGCATCTTGTGTGTTAGTATTGGTGTTACAATGTATTCCAACTAAATTGTGACCATGGCAGGTAACCATGTTATCTTACAACAAAATATGACTTGAGCAGAAATGTGTTAAAAAGAATTTTAAAAAATAGTTTAATTTATATATAACACAATTTAGCTATTGACACAACTCACTGTATAAGTTGAGCACTATGTCAAAATCAACACAACAAGAGAGATAACTAGAGGACTTGATGATACCAATTTTTTCCTCATCACTAGTAATTATGAAACATTTCCCACAAACCGCACTCACTCCTTAACAACGTTCAAAATAATTGTTTATTTAATATAAATAAATAAATATATAAATATATATATATATATACACACATATATATATATATATGTATATATATATATACATATATATACATATATGTATATATATATATACATATATGTATATATATATATAATATAGTATATATATATAACGCAACAATAATCTAAATACAACTAAAATGGTACCAACAGTTATCACAACAAATAATATTAGGAACAAATATTATACCAGAATATATTTGCTCTCTTTTGCAGTGCACTAAAATATACTGACTGATCCTATGTTACGTATTCTACATTTACAAACTATGTTTAATAAATTCCAGTCAGTAACTGAATCCAAAACCATGAAGTTGAGTCCTTTATATCCCAGAGCAAACAGTAAACATACACAGTATGTACTGGCAGAACTGCTGTTGTTCTGTCTTTTATTGACAACTATGATTCAAAGGATGTTGCAGTGCACCCCCCCACCCCCCGTCCCCCCAACCCAGCTAACCTGCGGAACTAATTTAACTTGTGAGAGCTTTATTACCAGAAATATGACAGAACTTCTAACAGAACCAATGTCACAGCCACTACTCACTTTTCCAATACAACACACACTCTCTCTTTCTCTCTCTCTTTTTCTCTCCCTCTCTCTCTTACTCACTCACTGAACTAACATGATATTCAGAATATGACATCACAACCAAAAACCTGTCAGTTTCTTAATCACTAATCTAACGATGTATTGCAAATGAAAAGCTTAGAGCTCTGAGCATGACGTCATGCTTGTTGGAATGTCAACATGTGCAGAAAAGATCATACTAAATACTGTCAACAGGACCACATCCAAAATCTACAGGTGACGTGGTTGCGAAATATTATCAGACCGCGTGTGAAAGTTTGTCTTTTGTAAGCCATTATAATTTTCAACACATTTTAACGTAAACGGAAATATATTGTATAAAAATATACTGCAGAAAATGACGTGTTTTTTTGTTTGTTTGGGAACTTGTGTAGACTAAGTTCTGATACTGACACCTCTTTAGTTTGACTTTTTGAATGAATTTTTGACTATTTCAAATTTCTTTAGTTGACAAAAGAAAAGAAAAGTGATAACCTGTGCTTATCCACTGATCGGTTTAACTCAGTATGAAAAGTAATCTTACTCATCCAAATGTCAGTCGTAAAACCAAATGCTGCTTTAGGGTGACTCAGCTGACCCCTTCAAACCTCATAAAGGTTTGCTGTTTCAAACAGCTTTGTAGTGGCTCGCCCATGATTAACATCATTGTTATGTAGGAAACTAATAGCAAGTTTAGGCCTTTTAGGCCTCACACAGTGTGAGCTTCAAAGAACTGAGCACAAATGACGGGATGGAAAACTGGCAATACGTGTGTAGACAACCCACTCATGGCTCATTATGTTATGAAAAATGGCTGATTCCAATCATCATCAGCCAGTTGAACAGTGCGTCACCTAATCGCAATAAAAGACACAAAGTGGCCCAGCAGATAAAAATACTTCTATTTTCCAAGCCAAAATAAATAGAATCATTATGTATTAATTAAAAAGTATTAAAGTTGTATCTAAAAATTAAGACATATTACAGATAAATAAATATATAAGAATATATATGAATATATAATTATATATAAGAATTCTGTAGAAAGAATAAATGGTAATAAACACAATTTAATTTCTGAATTGATATTACAGGCAGAACTTTCACTAAATTGTCTAGCACTATATTCATGTTTCTTTGTCAAGCAGCTCGTTGTTATCTAAGTTATGGAGTTTTAGGGGAACTGGATCAACCTTTTGTGCTAGTACAAGAACACGTTTAGAATGAAATAAAAATGTCTAGAGTCACTGCAATGCTGTCACATCCTTGTACTTTCCTACAGCACAGAAGTCAAAAATTAAAATGTATGCTTGTGACTATTTCAAAGTACCTGCTATTCAACCGGTGGATTGTAAATGATCTAATCATAATCTAACTTTTCACCCTGGATGTCATACTTCATTTGCAGATTTTTCATACAAGACTTCTCCAGGCCTCGCCCTTTTCTATTAGGGCACTGAGATTTGCCAGTTCCTTTAAGGTAATTATAAAAGTTTTGTATTTCTTAGTGGACTGTCACCCGGCCCGACATCTAAGTGAAAGTGAGTTATTGTCATTGCCAGCACACCAATGCACACAATGAAATGTGTCCTCTGCCGTTAACCTATCACAACCATCTGGTGACTGGTGGGTTCAGAACACTTCCCCTAAATATACACACAAAATGTCTTTATGGCATTTGAAAATGAGCTGCTTCACTGGGACTTGTTTAGTTTTAGAGGCTCCTTCAGTTGACAGCAAATGAAAAAAGAGTAAAGTACTTTTAAAATTGTTCTTGGTGACTGGAATATGGTGTTATTGAAAATCCAAACCAATGTAAAACGAATTGCTGCTTTAGGGTTTGCTTGCAGAAGGCAGCTAACATACATCGCAGGAAATGGATTCATACGGCTCCAGCAATGCTACATCTTTTTACATGTTTCTTTTTAGTGTTTTTGAATTGTAAAAGTGAATTAATGTATAGTGTTTTTTTATATATGTATAGGGATAAAATATGCAAATATTTGAAAAAGTGAAAAAGACTAAGAGATTAATATTATTATTATTATTATTATTATTAATAATATAATTAAAATTGAAATATTTTTAAAGAAAGCTTAACATTACAGTTAGTACAGCTATAATTTGTATGTGAAAATGTAGGCTCAGGAACTTGGAACATAAGTAAAGCGTGTAGTGAGGTAGGTCCAGATTACAAGGTCATGTGGTTTATTAAGCCACTTTAGCCACCTTAGCCCATGTGTTGGTGGCCTAGTAATTATATTTAAACTTGATAGTTAGATAGACAGTACTTTACAGTGAGGGGACCCTTTTTTTAATTTTCAAATTCCAAATGAATAAAGACATGAATTGGGCAAAAGGAGCAAATAATATTTTATGAAGGAGTTATATGTGGTCAAACAATTATAAAAAAGCAAAAAAAAAAAAAAAAGTACTAATAAACATTACCAATATTCAGCATGCTAAGTTTTAGAAGTGAGAACTACATTCATACTTTACAGTGCTCCTGCTTCCAAACTTCGTTTACATTTACTTCGTTAATATATTTGATAATATTGTGCAGCCCTATATTATTGGAATCTCAAAGTCCTCTGTATTACAAAAAAAGCTGACAAGAAGGGATCACGGCGTAAGATGGTACTCAAATTAGCACCACTAAAGGACAATGGGCTATTTCGTTCTCATGTAGTACCGCAGCAGTGACACTGATTTATATTCTGGTCCATCCACGTTTCTCCAAGAGAGTTAGGTATTTATTATATATTCAGTTTGTGTAAGCTCTTAGTTGCAAGTGTAACTGCTCTGGAGAGTTGTTCATTTAAAAAAAAAAAAAAAAAGGTGTCTATTCTCTATGTTCTCACAACAATAATTATGTCATTCTCTTCTCTGTCCTTTCCCTTACTATCAACCACTTGTGAATTTAATTCAGTTTATTAAACTTAATTATTTATATCTAACTGAGTCAATGATTTCAGCTCCCTGTCTCACGTTACAGTATAATTCCACTAATTGCCCAATTTAAAATCAATTGCTGGCCTTCTTTGCTCTTGCCTTGTCCTTGTCCTTGTCCGTTTCTGCATCTCCTTTCTCCTTTGCTTATCTATCTTCATCTTCAGGCAGCAGATCTTACCATTGAGCGTAGTAAGACATGCAAACCAAAGCCGGATCCCTCCAAGCTGGTGTTCGGCAAACAGTTCTCTGACCACATGTTGACCATCAACTGGTCCGAAAAAAATGGCTGGGCTGCTCCTGAGATAAAACCTTTCCAGAACCTGTCGTTGCATCCTGCCAGCTCAGCCCTGCACTACTCCATTGAGGTAAGAAAATGAATCTTAAGCTTGCCTGCAGCAGAGGTAAACAAAAACAGAGAAGTTAAGGTATTTTTATTATCAGCCACACTGAGCACAACAGTACATAAACAGCAGTTTACCAGCTCCTGTATAACCGACTCATGCTCAAAGAGCTCAAACTGCTCTCCACTTTCGCTATCGTTTTCTCTCTGGTGCGCCCCGCACACATATTTGCACACAGACATACATGTACGCTACTATTGTTGCACACAGTACACAGACATACATGTACGCTACTATTGTCGCACACAGTAGCCTGTGTAAAAAAAAAAAAAAAGTAGCGGCTCATAGACCAGAAATTACAGTAACCAGTTATGTGCATATGTTATGTGCACGTTAGGGTGCAATTCCGCTTAGACATAGTACAACAGCCCGAGTGTGAGTGCACCCTAAAAAAAAAGCAAAGGGGAATCTGATCCGAAGCTGTTTTTAGAACTGAAAGATAATCAAGAAGGTTCTGAGGAAATGACCTCAGACTTTATCACTTACAGAAGATTAGCAACCTCAAGTCAAATCCGCATTTTATTCAAAGAAATTTAATCATGGCTGATCATGGGATCGTGTGCAAGCAGAACATGATCATCTACTGCAAAAGGTCATGTGGCCAATTAGATGTGGACCAGTAATTGCTTATGTAGCTAAGTCTGTTTTTCTTGTCTGTTTTGTTTGAAGACATATTTTTTTTAATTAACACCAAGACATTCACTGTTGACTTGTATTTAGGTCTGTGTGCAACAATTATATAATAATTTAAAATAATGGCAAGTTTTGGAAAATTAATAATTTAAAATAATGGCAAGTTTTGAAAAATAAAAATGTTTAAAAGTTTTTTGTTTTTTTTTTTTTAAACTGTGACAGTAAAATGCCTAACCCCCTTTTTTCCTATTTGTTCCTCCTCTATTTTCTCTGCAGCTGTTCGAAGGCATGAAGGCATTTCGTGGAGCTGACAACCACATTCGTTTGTTTAGACCCACGCTTAATATGGAGAGGCTGCATCGTGGCACAGAAAGATGCTGCCTTCCCGTGAGTTTTGGTTTCGTTCATTCCTTTGTTTGACAAGCATCTTGCTTGCCTGTCATTTGACTCTCAAACACAAATGATCTAGGGGTGGTCAAAGTTGATCATTCAAGGGGCCGAAATTTCAAAATGCAGTCAAAGTTGTGAGCCAAACAGGGATAATCATTTGCACGTATGTGTATTCAAGAACATAGAATTGTGAGTTACTCGCCCTGCACAGGATTTAACCACTGCGTTTTAGTGATGTGCGGATCGATCCTGAAATATCGATACTTCCGATTCTGGATCTTTATGCTCTGAAATCGATTCTGAAATCAAAATATCGATACTTTTGATACTTACGCATTCTGAGATGAGGTGTATCCTAAACAGAAACATGGTGAAAAGTATCCAAATTATTGAGATGTTGTCTAAGTGACGCTCGGTTGGTGGGACTACTTCTTCTTCCGCCTGGGTGTGTGCGTCATGCGTAAGCACAGGGGCTCTACTCCGTGCTCTCACTCAGTCACTATTGATGGGAATTTCGGCTCTTTTTTGGAGAACCGGTTCTTTTGGCTCGGTTCACTGAAAAAATCCGACTCTTTCGGGTCCCAAATGGCTCCTCAGATTATTTATTTTATTTTTTTATTTATTTTTGTTTTACAAATAACATGTTTTCAGAGTTTGAAACATTGTTTTGACATATTTTATATGATTGTGTTCTCAAGGTTTTCTATTGTTGTGTTGACTGTATAGTAAATGAGGCAGCTACCTCAGTACACTCCAGAGTTTAAAATAAATAAATAAATAAAAACCTCAGCCTCGGATTCTTAAAGAAGCTATGATTTGAAATACATTTTTTTTATTTAAAAGACAAATGATAAAATATCGGTATCGATGTCGGTATCGGCGATACCAGCCCGAATTTTACTCGGTATCGGATCGGAAAGGAAATTGGTGGTATCGAACATCACTACTGCGTTTTACCCATCCACAAATCATACAGGTACAGGCTCTTTAAGATAATTTATTTTTAGACAATCATGCACATAATAAGCTCTGGCGAGCCACATCATATGATGTGGTGGGGTCACATGGGCCTTGATGTGTGACTGGTAGGCTAGATTAATTTGCCTGCTACTGTGATTTTTTTTTTTTTTTTTCACACATTTTTCTAACATTATTTTTGACCAAACCCTTTTTAAAAGAAGCTGTTTAGATATAGGTTTATTGAACCACATCTGTACCATTTAAAGTCTTCCACCACCTGCTTCTGGTTACAAGCACTATTATAGATATATTTTATTATATATGTATATATGTATTATATATAATACTGTGTCTAACGAATAGTCCCCAAGGAATATTCGTGCAAGTGATGTTGGCACAAATCATGATTAATTGTGATTAATCCACAGCCATTGTTTGATTGATCAGATTAAAAATGTTATCCTTTTTTTTTTTTATTATTTTCTATGTCACTGTTTTTGTAATATTGTCCTGTTTCTCCCCAGGTCTTTTAAAGGTCACTGCATTTATTAACAGTTTAGTGTTTTTTTTTTGTTGTTTTTTTTTAATTTTGAGAGCAATGAAGTAGTGAGGCTTTACCGCCACAGTCGCAGCATACAGTGTAACAAATGTATTATAACCATTCTGCCATGTAATATATATTGTTATGTGATAATACAAAATAATTGACATAATATAAATAGATTTTATTCTAACATGTAAATATAATTTTAGGCCAAGAGTACATGAAGTGAAAGGTGAATTTTCACTGTGCACAATGAAATTAATCGTCAACCCTTTAACCCTGCACCGTGTGTGGGGACGGTGCCAAGCTCAGTGCCTGTGTATTTAAACCTGTGACCTTCTCGACCCAAGTCCACTTCCTTTACCAACAGTCCACCCCTGCCCCTACTTATCAACTGTTGAATTATCTTAAAAAGAAACCGCAATATAGATCTCTACAAACTTTTATTTTGAAGTTATTATTGGGGTGAAAACCCTGCACAGAAACACCTCAAAATGCACCAAAATACCCTAAATTATGTAACCATCTGTATAATTTGTACCAAACTTCAATTCATTAATAACATTTTTTTTTAAAAACACCTCAAAATCCTTTAAAAAAAATTACATTGATAAACTATGATAGCTATATAACATGGGGTCGTCAGTATATAAAGTTTACTTTTCTTTGTTGTCCTTTGGGATGTAATATAATGTTCTAACGTGTCATATATTTTAATCTGTTACTCAAACAGGAACATACTCGTTTATCTCTTATGTGTGAGTCATGCTTAAAGTGACCAATCTATACAACTGACTGAATAGAAGTATAATCTAGACTGTACAACTCATGTGTCAGTGCATTTAAACAATCAGTATCATAACCATTCTTTGTGATTTGGCCAAAATATTCATGCAAAGGTAATCCCCGTATGCTGTCTGGAGAGGAACTTAGAAGTTTAATGTCTTTTTCCCACTTTTCTCTGTAGGTCTTTGATAAAGGAGAACTGCTGAACTGCATCAAAAAGCTGGTGGAGATTGACCAGGAGTGGGTGCCGTACTCTCAGGATACAAGCCTCTATATCAGACCCACTTTCATAGGAACTGAGGTGAATTGTGAAGCAATCAAATCCCTTTTTTAAAAAAAAAATGTATCTGGTGTCTTGGACCAAAGAGGTAAAAAAAATGCTAACCAGGTTCTTGCTTCTAATTCCCTGTCTTGACCAGCCATCTCTTGGTGTCTCTCGTACTGGACAAGCTCTCCTCTATGTCATCATCGGTCCCGTAGGCCCATATTTTGCCACTGGTTTTTTTAACCCCGTGTCACTTCTGGCAGACCCTTCATTTGTCAGAGCCTGTAAAGGTGGCGTTGGTTCTTACAAGATGGGAGGGTGAGTCTTAATTCAAAAAACATTTTTTTTTCCACTCATGCTGCTATTCCTGAGAGATATTTTGACCAGAGAGCAATGTAGAAAACAGATAATTTAACTAGTCATACTGCTTGCATTTGTTGTTCCCTGTGTTAATTTTACAGTTAATAATCACTACAACTTCCAAAATTTTGTACGACAATATTTCTGTCTACATTGCCGTTACTAAATCTCCAAAATAACTATACATGTTAGCCAGTTAGCCAGAAATTCAGCTAAAACGTATATATAATAAGAATTGTAAACATATATGTGGTTACGCTATATTCTATTATATATGATATACAGTGGTATGATCATTTTCAAGATTTTCCTTTATGGATCATTGGTTGTTCGGAACGGCAATTTCAATTAAATATATCACATAGCAAACGAAACACAGTGATATTTAAGAAGTGAAATGAAGTTTATAGGATTTACAGAAAGTGTGCAATAATTACTTAAACAAAAGTAGGCAGGTGCATAAATGTGTCATTGTCATTGTTTCCATAGTAAGAACAACCAACGGAGGAAATCCAAGACAGCTGAACAAAAAAACAAATGACATCTGAGTAATTACACTATTAAACATGTTCACTGTAGAAAATAGGACAACAATCCACTATTGCCTATTACCATGTATTATTGTTTTATTAAACTGATCACAGATTTACAGTATAATAAAAACACTAAAAAAAATACACAAAATAAAAATAGTTTACCCATTAGTGTTATTAAATAATTATATAAAGAATAAATTAAAATTAAATAAGATGTTTCGAGGGTCAAATTCTTAATTTGTCCTATTAGAATTTCGTTTTTTTTGTAAATACGAATGCATTTTCGTTGAAATTCTTACCGAGCTCAGGATACTATAAATCAGCTCATTTTGGTCTTCTGAGACAACATTGTGAGAACAAATGGAATGAAAGCAAGGTTCTGAACATTGGAGGTGGTTTCAAGTTCTTTTATTGGGATCATTTTGAGATTGTAGTTTGTCTGAAAGTCAAAGCAGTACGGGGTGAATTTAGAGGTGAGTAAAAATATCGATCATCATTGCGTTGAAGTTGGGTGCAGAACTATGCCCCCTACTGTTAGGGGGTGGGGAGTACCGACAGAGTCTCTCGGTTCAGTGGTTGAGGAGCTTGCTGCTACGTCGTTAGTTGGCAGTGAGTTGTGTGTCTGTTCATTTATGATTACTATTAAAGAGTGTGTGTTCATATACCACTAACTGAGATGTTTATGTCTCCCATTATATATTGGTCCATGTCTGGCGGTTATGTTGACACACAGACATATAACACTACACATCAGAATACTGTGATTACTGCGAAAGCAAAAACAGAGAACTGGATGTTGGTTTAGGAACAAAGAAGAATTAAGGTCAGCCGAAGCGAGACAAAACGCATGTGCCTAAACGAGAGCGAGGCGAGCGGAACGATAAAGGTAGTAGGAGTAGTAGGGGCACCTGGTAGCCCCCATTACCTATGGGTATGTTCTAAAAATACAACTAGTCAAAACCAGGCTCACAGAATGCACCGTTATCGTTCTTTTTTGGATTAGTTACACTTGATAGTCAAACAGACAGAAAAAAACGTGAAAAAATTTCTGTCCCCTAGGGGATGGGCATGAGAGAAAATAATTGAGAACCACTGATGCAAGTGAAGTTTTTTTTTTTTTTTTTTTTTCAAAATTATAGTTTTGCAACTAATTATTAACTGTATCCTTTAATCAGGGATAATTTTGTTTTCCTTTTGCGATCGTTACGGGCATCTAAACCAGCGCTCCAGCTTTAACTTTTTTTTAAAACTTTTTTTTTTGCAGTAATTATGGCCCAACTATTATGATTCAGAATGAGGCAGTGAAGCAGGGATGTCAGCAGGTTCTGTGGCTGTATGGAGAAGAAGAGGAGATCACTGAGGTCGGAACTATGAATCTTTTCATTTACTGGACCAATGAAAATGGAGGTAAGACTTGAAGACTTGAAATGTATGGAAATACCACGAATAACACAAAAGTCTAAAAAAAAAAAAAATTCGGTTTTACTCTCTTCTACAGAGAAAGAGCTAGTAACTCCACCACTAGATGGCATCATCCTGCCAGGAGTCACCCGACAGTCTCTGCTGGACCTTGCCAGATCTTGGGTAGGTACACCAAAGCAAGTAAGATATTAGTACATATTAGTTCACATTTAGGGATTTTTTTTTTTTGGAAAATGGTGCTAAAAAATATAAACCCTATAGATAAAACTGAACCAAAACTGTCTAAATCAAATACATTTTGTTTACTATTCTGTGTTCCAGGGAGAGTTTAAGGTTACAGAGCGCACGGTGAATATGAAGGAACTGCTTGGAGCTCTGGATGCTGGAAGGGTTCTGGAGGTTTTTGGAGCAGGGACAGCTTGTGTTGTCTGTCCTGTTGGCAGCCTCCTCTATAAAGAAAAGGTAGGAGTTGATTGGATAAGAGTACAGTGGAGCCCTGAGATACGAGTTTAATTCGTTTTACAACAGCACTCGGGACTCGATCCACTCGTATCCCCGTACCGTACGACTGAATCGATGCCAGTCCTCGGTTGAGCACTTTTGTAGCTAGACAATTCCTTGTATCACAAGCAAAATCTTGCAGTAGTTGCAGACTCGTAACATGGAATACTGGAGTACTTTGGGAAGCTCATATCTACGGGGGTCCGCTGTACTCGGTACGGAGAAGCTCAGTCACGGATATAGAATTGACTGGTTGTTATTCGTTTAAAAGCAGTGTCCTAACTGTCATAATTTTAAGTTGTTTTTTTAAAAAATTTAGGAGTGTTAATTAAAATAAAAAATGATTGCGCATTACTGTCTCGGATGTTTCAAAAAGCCTGGCTTCCCAGTTGTGTGGGACATGTCACAGTGCATAGCAGACAAATTTTATAACACTAGACTGAGAAGCGGAGGTCCTTACCCAAAAAGTGTAAATTATCCAAAGCCTTAACATCGATTATTTTTTTTAAAAAAAAATTAATTTATTTTCAGGAGGAAAGTACCAAATGCTAATGGTGGTGTTGTCAGTGCACCCGTTTCACATGTGACAGTCTTCGCAACACTGCGAACACAAGTTGGTATAGCCCAGGCATGGGCAAACTACGGCCGGCGGGCCATATACGGCCCGTATATAAACAAATAAACAAATATATTGATAAAAATTAATTATAATTAAGAAAACTATTTATATTATTGTAATAAAAAATGGTTAAAATAACCCAGCGAGGGGCGGTGAGCTAGACCGTGTCGGGCCACTAGCGGTAGGAGAAGGGCTGGGAGTGAGGACTGAATTTAGATAATAGAGAGAGAGAAAGGGGAAGAGACAAATAAAGCAATGGGTAAAATAACCAAGCGAGGGACACTGAGTGCAACAGTGTCAAGTGGAAAAATGGAGCTCGGTTGAGCATTTGTAACTCGTATGACGAGGGAAAATCTTGCAAAAGTTGCTTACTCGTAACTTGGAAAAACGTATCATATCTTAAAGCCCCACTGTACATACATTTGAATGCTTCCAGAATAATATCTAAAAAGGCAGATTTAAAAAAAAAAAAAAAAAATCAAATATGCTAAAGTTGCAATTTTTGCAAAGATGCCTGTTTGTGTCACTGTTTATGTGTTCATAACTTCAATTGTTTTTCTCAGACCTATCAAATCCCCACGATGGAGAATGGTCCAGATTTGACAAAGAGGTTCCACAAAGAACTGACTGATATACAGGTAAAAGGATTTTTACTACTACATGTAAGGTTTTTGACTCTGACAAGCTGCTCATATAATTCTAGACAATTTTTACTTAAAAAAAACCTGTTGCAAAAAAAAATTTTTTTTTAATCACACAGCTTGGCATTAAGTGTACCCTAATTCTTTAGTCCAAAATATGTGTGCAATACAATTCCCTGCAATATACTGTATAATTGTTCTCAAACAAAAGTTTGAGAACAATATTCTTGTGGCTAGTCCAGTGGTTCCCAAACCTTCTCTGCTGGGCCCCCAGCAAATTTATATAAAAAAAATATTCATGCCTCCCACCTATTTTGTTTTTGGACTTGTTAATAATTGTTTATTTTGCATATTTATATTTAATTCTTTTTATGCACTTAACATGTCTATTTTAAGTTAGCATTGTCATTTTGGTCATCAAATGTGTGACAATAAAAACAAGAAAAATAACGGCCTTTTTTGCAATATCATTATCAGATATTCATTGTACACCGCCTTCAACCAATTTGTTTTTTGTTTTTTTGCCAGCCTTTTGTTAAACATTTATTCCACCCGCAACCCCCTGCCCCCACTTTGGGAACCTCTGGGCTATTCAAACTTTTTTTTTATTTTAATGTAGTATTAACATTATCACAGTTATGTATTAAAACAGTGTTTTTTTTTAACGTTTTCTATTTTTTTTCTTTCCTTGTGACAGTACGGACGCAAACAAAGTGAATGGGCACCAATCGTTGTATAAATTGGCCATCCTGATGCTGTTTCCTTATCCTCATCCAGCACATTAAGACCATTAGTACACTCCTCTTGTTTCTTTACCTACGGAAGTAGGATGCCTATTTTCTCCTCTCTCCTTGAGTCTCTTAAATCAATGCTTTGGTTCAAACACGGAGTAGCTGTGTTTACATTCTCCAACCCAGGTGCTGTAGCTTATTCTTATATGCTGTAATACTAGAGACGAAGGTTTGTTTTTTTTGGATGGCATATATGCTGTAATACTAGAGACGAAGGTTTTTTTTTTTTTTTGGATGGCATTTTGTGACACTGCCACTGTACCAGTTGATTTTTTTTTTAAGCAAAAGGCTAGTCATATCCTCAACTAACATTGTTGTAGATTACGCACCAAAATAATAATGAAGCACAAAATGATTCAGTGCTTCATCATCTGTACTTTTGCATCAACAGAGCCTAACTCATCCCTAATTCATAGGACACTCGAGAAAACTGTGCTTTATATACACAAATGTAAACCACTATCTTCGGCGGACATAAACTAACTTGTATCAGTATTTCACATGTAGGAATGAACATACGTGAACATAGATGCAATACTAAAGAGGTTTTATGGAATACAGAATAGGACTTGATAGTGTATGTAATGGTTATCATCAACTCGACGCATTACAGAGGAAAAAAAAATGATACTGTCGGTAATCATAGGATACGCTTATGTATCTTAGAAACATATCTGTGTGTGTGTGTATTTTTATTTTCGTCGACTTCGGTTAACTAGAGAGATTTTATCTGATGGTTTGGTTTAAGCCTTGTAAAGAGAAAGCAGAGGTGGATTTTTAAAATGCGTGTTTGTCTTGTTTTGGTCATTGATGAATGCAGTTACTGCACTGAAGATCATGGAGTGTACTGTCCAAGTAATGTTACAAATGCACAGGTGCGCCATGGAAGGCGCCTGCAGTTCCACCTGCACTATTATCTCTGTGAACACTAAAATGTCTGGAAACAGATGTATTTTTTTTAAAAATATATAGGTTTTAAATAATGATTATACGTTGTTTGCAATTGTGTTGATGTAATGCAGATGAACTACGCTCCTACGTCCTACATTAATGTCTCGATTGCTGCTTTCTTCCACGTATCATTTTAGTTTCCTGTTTTTGCCTTTCCTCTGTGATTCTTTGTCTGAATATTCTCGTTACATTTTCAGCTGCTGTGTAGTTTCACAGTTTGCGCACCCATGGGATCTAGCTGGATTATTTGTCATATTTTATTTCATTGTTTGTTTTATTGGTAATGTTTTTGGTTTTTTTTTTTTAACCTGCTGTTACATTTCCTCTATTGCTGTTTTTACAATAAACTTGATCTGAGGTGTTCAATTTATTTGAAATGCTCTAAATGAAAGTGTTTTAATAAACAACTAAAACATGTTCTTGTATGTAGGACCTTTGGATTTAAATTTAAATAATTCAGATATATGTGTTCTTGTATGTAGGACCTTTGGATTTTAATTTAAATAATTCAGATATATATGTATGTATGTTATATATGTATGTATATATATGTATGTATATATATGTATATATATATATATATATATACACACACACATATATATATATATATATACACACACATATATATATATATATACACACACACATATATATAGATATATATATACATACACATATACATATACACATATACATATACACATATATACATATATACATATATATATATATATAGGAGTGTTGGGCTGTTGGTAAAACTACAAAACGTTTTCGCTCATATTTTCCTATTTCAGTATTTTCCGGTCTATAAGTCGCACCAGCCAAAAGATGAAAAAAAAAATTACAACTAGAGTAGCCGATACTACACAAACCTCGAGTGCCCTCTAGTGGCTGTCAATGTGAAAATAACGTACATGTAAATTTTCAGTGGTACAGAAGTAGCAGATACACAAGCCTACAGTGCCCTCTAGCGGCTGTCAGTGTGAAAAAACAAAAATAAAAGGTTTCCTCCAGTTGGTAACACCCCCAAATCCCCAAGCTAGTAAAATGAACAAAAAACAGACATCTTTGGAACGTTGCATTTAACACAGTTCCAGGAGTCTAATTGAAATTAGAATTTTTTTTGCAACAGGTTGTTCCCACCACCAAGCCTGCGCTGCATAATACGCAGCTCTCTAAACCCGCGCCTGTTTAGCTGAACGCAACTTGCGTTCAGAAATATCAAGTATTTAATTTAATATTTTAAAATGATATATTTTAATATGTTAAAATTATATATTTTAATATTTTAAAATTATACACTTTATTTAATATTTAAAAGAAATATCAAAGAAAGATATACATGAAGATTTTCAACACCTCAGTCTTATTTGACAATTTTAACGGCCGCATGCTGCCACCTAGTGGAGTCATTTGTAATTGTTCTGTCATCATTCACATGTAGACAAATTATATACAGGAAAATTAGAACACATTTTTCAGACTAAGTTAGATTGGATTAAAAGGTACACCACTGCTTTAAACCACATGTTTTCTCAGGGAACAAAAACGAGATTGAGGAGCATTGGAGGAGGGTGGTGGTGGTGGGGGGTAAACACACAAAGCTGTGGTAAAAGGGGCTTCAAAATGTACATGGAGTACTTCCAAAGAGTAAGAGCAACCTGTCATCATGTGTCAGGGTTTCATTATGTACAGACCTAGGGCAAATTGCTGGCTTAGTAGTACAGGAGTCGGACTTGGGTATGGAAGATTCTTCAGGTTCGCGTCTACCAGCTGCCAAGTTACCACTGAGGTGCACTGATGGGTTAAAAGCAGAGGTCACATTTGGTTGTGTGCAGTGGTGTGCTGTTTCACAATGACAAATTCAGTCACTTACCTTACTTACTCACCCACATTAAGAAATGGTGAAGTGATGACCGTCCAAGAGTCAAAAATAACCAAAGGCATCCAGGTTTACACTTAGAATAAACCGCAGACAGGTCACATGTCCAGATGCTATTCAATACCACAGTTAAAGTAAAGTGGGTACTGTGCGTACTATGGAAGAATTCAAATAATTCAGACCATTACATGGCTGTTATGAGGAAGTCCACATTGATGACGGTGCAGACAGGACTTACCAAAACAAGTGCAGCATGTTTGCGAATGAGTTCGCAACGTCAGGGAGCGACAGCTGTAAGAGAAGAGATTGGATTTCAAACTTGCAGTATTTTCTTTCTACGATGGAGGAAGAGATTGGTGGAGGAATATTTAGGGTGGAGACGGTGGGGTAGGGGGGCGAGGGGGCAAAGAGGGTCAGAGACAATGTGAAGAAAGTGAAGAAAACTTAAAGGAGAGATCATTCTATAAACAGCATCGGCCTTTGGCCGCAACTGCCACGAGAGCCACGCTGCTCCTTCCGTCGGTGTTCCTTCCTATTTCTCCTCCCACACATGAAAGAGAAATGGTAGAAGAAGCACAAGAAGGAGTGGTTAGGAGACGATGACAAGAGTCTAAGTTATGATGTAGTGTCTCAGACAGAGCGAAGAGGCAGATTGAAAAAGACCCGGAGTGGAGGAGGATCAGCAGGGAGCCATGATGTGAACTAGACGTGGTGATAAAACAGGTGAACAAACACAAAAAATCCTCCCAAACGGGGTGATAAAACAGGTGAACAAACACAAACGCGCATTCTGCATGTGGGGAAAAATCCTCCCAAACGAATCTAATAAACATGCCTTAACAGGAGATTTATTAATATTTTCAAAATCTTTTTTCTTGCAGATGACTTATAGGATAAAGGTACAGCAAAAAGGAGCAGTGGTGAGTTTTTATTGTCAATGGTTGGAGTTTTTTTTTTTAGACAAACCAAATGTATTTTGGGGATCGATCGTAGGACTTATTAAGGTATTATAAAAAAATTGTTGTCAGTCTTTTCAGTCTTAAATCTAGTCTAGTCCATAAGTCTGTCTTTTATCCATAAATAAGTTAATATCTTTTCAAAAGAAAGACCAATGTCAAATCCTTACAGTCAAAGAGCTAAGGAGACCTTTTTGTCGGTTTTGAAAGTTTTATCTTTTGATATTGACAGGCTTGCATCGCACACCCCAAATGTCAATGATACCTTGTCACTCCTCTATTACACCTCCTGTTATTGTTTTCTAATTGATGAAAAGAAAACAAAAAGGTTATACTGCAATCTTCCCTTGTAAAACTTTTTCACGTAACGGTCGAGTTACGTGAAAAAGAAAAACCTTATAGTTACAGTTATAAGATCTTTTCTTGTATTTACGAGATAAGGTGTCAAATTTTACATCATCGTTGTCCCGTATCAGAAGGTTTTACATGTTTTGTGTCTTAAATCAGTGCCTCCCAACCCCCGGGCCGCGGAACGGCACCGGTCCGTGGTTCAGTTGGTACTGGGCCGCACAGAAAGAACGCGTAACTTACTTATTATTTCTTCATTATTCTGAACAATGTTTTATTTTGAAAAAATGGAACTGGATTCTCCCCAAAAATGTAATTTTTACAAGAGGAGAAAACAGATGTTAAAATTAAATTAAAATTGATTGTTGATTGACTCACTTAAATTGTAAGTCATTTTCGATAAATATATGCTAAATATATTGTAATGCAGTGGTTCTCAATTGTTTTCTGTCATGCTCCCCCTTGGGGACAGACATATTCCAGTGGAAGCCCCTCACGCCACCCCCCGACACCTCACCGCGCCCCCCCATGGGGGCCCACCCCACTATTTGAGAAGTACCGATTGTATTGTAATGTAAAATGTTTTAGTATGTCAGAAAATTCTACGGAAACACTGCGGATTACTTGTTTGGCCAAGAAAGAGCTACTAAAACAATCCTTTTTTTTTATCCTTATTTGAGGTTGCTAAAGTTTTGAACCGCCGACCTCCACTATCAGCAAGGAAAGCTTGAGCTTTTTGGTTTGAAAGAGGTAGGAAAAATTACGAATTACATTTGGCTGTTCCAGAAGCTCAACATGACAGTGAATTTTTTTTTGTCTTTAGGGGAAAGATAAAAGAAAGAAAGAAAAGATATTTAAACAGGACTGATGGATAACCAAGACAAGCTAGGAGGCACAGATGGAACGGGAGGAGAAAAGGAGGTTGTTGAAGAAGAAAAACAGACAAAAGACAAAAACAATAAACTTGAAAAGGAAATCAGTGAGAAGCTGCCCGGCCACGGGAACCACCGTTGCCTGTTGAAGAATGGTCGGGCTCTGACGGAACGCCTTGCCATCAACGTGTCCGGGATGCGTTACGAGACCCAAATACGTACACTTGCCCAGTTTCCGGACTCCCTGCTGGGTGATCCACGGCGCAGACGCCGTTACTACGACCCTCTTAGAAATGAACTCTTCCTTGATAGGAGCCGTGTCTGCTTTGATGCCATCCTATATTTTTATCAGTCAGGTGGGAGGCTGCGGAAGCCTGCCAATGTTCCCCTGGATGTGTTCTTGGAGGAGCTGCATTTCTATGAGCTTGGTGAAGAGATCATCGACCGTTTTAAGGAGGATGAGGGCTTCCCAAAGGAGGAGGAAAGGCAGCTGCCTACTAATGAGCTAAAACGGCGCCTCTGGATGCTGTTTGAGTACCCGGAATCATCCGGTGGGGCTCGCATTATTGCAATCATTAGTGTCATGGTGATTGTTATTTCTATCCTCATCTTCTGCCTGGAAACCCTGCCTGAGTTCAGAAATGAAAAGGAGCTGAGAGAGGTAAGCTGTTCAAGACCGACGCAGATAAAAAAGCAAAGCAGTGGGGATGTAGATGGTCATGATGGGATGAGTCTTTTTTTTATAAAAGAAGGAACAGAACTGAAAGACCAGCAAGATGCGAATAAAAATCTAATGACAACAATGACTAATAACAATGACCATGTAAAGTTTAAACTTTAAAGAGGTGATCTGACCAAAAACATGGCTAATTTCTACAGTATTTTTAGACACATATGCTGTGTTGCAACCCGGTATCTTTAAACGTTCTCTCCTGAGCCCCTCTTTGCTTCAAAATTTTCACGCCCCCAACAAAAACACCCAAAACAAAACAAACCAGGACACACACACATAATTTTTTTGTCAGAATAGTTTATTTCTCTAGTTTTATCTCGCAATTTCCGGACTCTAAGTCGTACCTTTTTTCATCCTTTCGCTGGTTTTACTCAGGTTCGACTTATATATTAAAATATATAATTTCCCCCCAGAGGGCACTCCAGGCTTGTGTACCAGTATCTGCTACTCCTGTACCACTGAAAATTGACCTGTACATGTTCGCTATTTGCACACCGACAGCCACAAGAAAAACCCACTGAAAATTGACCTGTACATGTTCGTTATTTGCACACCGACAGCCACAAGAGGGCACTTTGGCTGGCTGGTGCGACTTATACTCTGGAAAATACGTTAACCTTTTGCGCACCTTAAACTTGTTTCTCATTTTATGCTAGCATTGTCAACTGTCAACTGGTCAGTCGGCAGGTGTGAGATTTTGTGTGGGGAGGGGCAGGGGGCACACTGCGCGGGGCTGGTACTGCTGCTTTGAGCAGATCAAAGAGGCGACAGTAAAAATTACAACGAGAATGAAAACAACAGTCTTGTTTACAAAATTATTATCAGATATTTGTTTTACACCACCTTCAACCAATCCGTTGTTTTCTCTCTTGTTTCTCTTGTTAAACTCTTTACGACATTGGACAATAAGTTGCGTTACATATTATACATTCATTCCATCTGCACCCCATCCGGCAATGACAATGCAGACGCTGCAGACGCCTCTGCTTAACTGAGTTACCCTTAACTGAGTTATGAAACATTTATTTCATATTTCTTCTTCACGTTTCTTCATATCTTACCCCTAAATGCATTTCCCTTCCACAGTGCTGCTACTGGCTAAAGTGGCCTACAGCTCCACCAGGAACACTTGCACTCTAGGCGTTAAGCCCATTAGCTCTGCAAACAATGACAAAGTACAAGGTGCACTATAGTCCAAGCTAGATTTCTGTTTTCAGTGCTTAAGCCGATTCAAAATACAAATTAACGCTGCAGCTTTATTTGAACAAAACACTCTAAATTTGATCCCACAAAGTCTTGGACAAAGACTTTGACGCTGAGAAAAACAGGTGCGTTTTTAAATGACGTACATTTAGCAAATGTGAGAAAAGGGTATGTTATTAAGCGGAGGAGCAAATGTGAAGGCGTGTAATGAGGATGAACTTACTCATATTACCTCTGGAAGATCTTAAGGTCTATATATAGAGTGAGGACATCCCTGACACCACTCTAACTGGTAAACAAACGTATCAATGTAATAACGAATGCTACGACTCATCCACATGTCAATCGGGCCACAATATCGACTTTTCGGATAATAAATGCAAAATATATCCGTCACCTCGTGGACTTATCAAAATGGCTAGAACTTGCTAAAGAAGTCGCTCAAATCTAGCTAAATGTATAGCATTAAAATACCAAAGAGTGCTAAACTTAAGCTTGAAAGTCAATATGAAAACCAATTAATTGCCTTATAATAATAGCTTATTTAATTTTAATGCCATAAAAATTGTACAAAAACACGAGCCTGTTTATAACATTTGTCTCACTCACTGCCATTTCAATATCTACACCAAGTTCGCAGGAAAAACCTGTTGGCTCATAATGAAGACCCACTGTAATGTAACCCAAGGGTCACATGAGCAAAATGTTTAAATATAGAAAAACTCGTTTATGTGATAGTCGGAGAGGAAAAATAAAGCCTGTGGAAATGGAGAGGAGAGAGACCTTACCATGATATCACAGGGCTCCTGCTGGACAGGATTAGATACTAATCCTGTTGACATATGTCACACCCTGAATGTGCTGAAGAGAAACACTTTTGATATTCACATCTTCTCATTTCTCCACTGCCCGTCTCTTGTAAGCTCGATTTTTTTTTAGCTTACCGCTAACACTGCTTTCCATGCACCTAACTGCAGCTTCCATACAACTTTTACCACGTGAAATTACTGTAAAAAGCACTCCTTCCGCAGCTGTATTTCCCCTTTTTAATTATAAGCTGTGTGAAATTAAAATTTTATGACGCATTTGTTAATTTCATTTTATTTGAACGCATTTCTTCCTCTGAACATTATTTTAACATACATGATGGCAACTGGGAGATGTATTGTAAATATATGTAGATATACATAAATATGTTTCTATTTATATCTTTCATATATATATTTTGTTAATGACAAAAAATTGTTCTTAACCCTGAAGTGAAAAGAGACCTATTTTCAATCTTTCATATATATATATATATATTTTATTAATGACAAAAATTTGTTGCTAACCCTGATGTGAAAAGTGATTTTAAAAAATTAAAAATCATATAAAAAAAGGTTTAACTTTTCAATTGCTCTCATATGTATGGACTATTTTAACTGCATTTTTTTCACCTATTTTCAGAAGTGTCTTGACATCTTGATGTTTTCTTAAGTATAACAGTAACAGCCTTTGCTTTATTCATTTGTCAACAGCAATACACCATCATTTCACACCCCACCATAGAGAATGAGACGCTCTTGATTCCACCTGGCTTCACTCCCTTCCAGGATCCTTTCTTCATCGTTGAAACCATTTGCATCTGCTGGTTCTGTTTTGAACTTTTCGTACGTCTAATCTGCGCCCCGAGTAAGATACACTTCTTCAAAGACGTCATGAACATCATCGACTTTTTTGCCATCCTTCCCTATTTCATTACACTTGGGACAGAGCTAGCTAAGGACAAAGACAAAAGCACACAGCCCTCTGTGTCTCTGGCCCTCATCAGGGTTATCAGGTTGGTGAGGGTCTTTAGGATCTTTAAGCTCTCTCGTCACTCCAAAGGTTTGCAGATCCTGGGCCAGACCTTAAAGGCAAGCCTCAGGGAGCTTGCTTTGCTCATCTTCTTCCTCTTCATCGGCGTAATACTTTTTTCCAGTGCTGTATACTTTGCCGAGGTGGACAGACCTAACACATCATTCACCAGCATCCCTGAGGCCTTCTGGTGGGCTGTGGTATCTATGACCACGGTTGGTTACGGAGATATGTACCCAGAGACAGTTGGTGGGAAATTGGTGGGTTCCATGTGTGCCATAGCGGGCGTGCTAACTATCTCCTTGCCCGTGCCAGTCATAGTGTCCAACTTTAGCTACTTCTATCACAGAGGGATGGAGTGTGAAGATACCACACAGTATCATCACGTCACTACGTTGCTGTGGGAAAAAGACAAAGATGCTAATAGTGAGGAGGAGAATGAAGATGGACTGGATGTATGGGGGCCGGAGTGCATGGATGAGTGTGTACCCCTGTACAGTCAGAACAGCAAAGGTATACAACCTCCGCTGAATGGCTCTCTGACAATGACGGGACATTGTACTGGACAGGTGACTGGTGATGTAATGGGATTTACCTTCTACCTCAAAGAACCTCTGGTCACTCAAGTTTGACAGACTGTAAAAAAGACAGAGTATGCTGATCGACATGGAAGTTGTTTGTGCGTAGAAAAAAGTAAACTCCAAAATGGATGCGTTCTGAGTATGGAGTCACGCAGAAAAAAAACAAAACCTTTCCAAAAAGACGTGGACTGAAGAACGCTACAACTGAGTCAAAGGTGCCTGATGGGCAATGTAACTTGTTAGTCCATAGGACGACTGCACTAATGATTTTATCATTTATTTTTTGGCACCTTTTTCATTGGTCAATTAGCCTTTTGGTAAATAAAACAAATAACAAGAAATGTTTAGTGGTGTTTTCTTTAATGTGTATGTTTGTTGTATTTTTATGATTTAAATGTTGTGTATAAAAACATTTATTGACCCATGTTCAAATGAATAATCTGGTCAAACATGTAAAGTCCTAGCTTAGACCAATTTTGATGTAGGGCCCTTGCATTACTTTTATTCTCATAGTCCAAATGTTCCTAAAACTCCCATTTCAGCTGTCAAGGTTGTGTCTCCAACGTTTATAGTGATATTTGCAAATGAAAAATGCTTTTAACCCTTTGATGCATGACCCATGATATACTGAGTTAAAAAAATGTTACTGTGTGTTTTTAGTGTTTTTATGTGTTTTTAGACATAAGAATAAGAACTGATTCGGTTCTGTTTTTATACACCAAATTTTCTTTTTGAATGTTGACACAATTTTTCTGCAGTTGCAAAGGCTGACCACTGTATGGCAGTGTTGGTTGATTCTCAGGCGTCCACTGTAGAGGCTTAAATGCAACACTGCCATCAAAACCTATTCTTATCATAGAAAATGACATTTTCATAGCTGTCCACTGTAGTGACCGTCATGCATGAAAGGGTTAAACTAGGTATGCTACCAATAAAGTACTGATCTGTTCTGTGAAATCAAAAAATCAAAAATAAATATGGAAACAGTTTAGTTATCACGACTTAGTTGAGATTTATTTCCACTTTATTGTTGTTTTAAATTACATTTTGGGGATAGTCCAGTAAATAATAACAACAACAACAACAACAATAATAATAATAACTGAATCCACTTTATCCTGTCAGATGCCATGGTGTATGGTGCCTCCATTTGCAAGGTAGTGGAATAAGAAAGCCCAAATTACTGTATACTTTACTCAAGCTGGTTGTGTTGACCAAACACTTGATCTGTGTGACCATGGCTGTTCGTGTACTCGTATGTCAGCTAAACATGAAGTTACCGTAACGTAAGACATTGCTGTGATCCTATCCATAAATATGTACAACAAACGATGGTGGTGATGGAGACATGTTTTTGTATTATGCTTATGCAATTGGCTTGCAATATGTCTGCATGTACTTGGCTAAAAGCAGAGATAAATATTATGATAATCCTGAAAGCTGATCACATTTCGCGTTGTCTGATATTTCTGTTCCAGAAGGGAAGCCAAGTCTGGGGATTAACTAATGATCAGTGGTAATGTTAGGTATAATTTGGAACATTTAAAGTTAGCAGTCCTCACTGATCTTTACAGACGATGTTGTGTTTTACCTTGCTGTTTGTTAATGAATACAAAATAAAACTCTTGACTTGCTGACAGCACTGAATCAATAATACTTATGTACTCTTTATAAAAATAAGTTATTGTATATATATATATATATATTAATTCATCTGAATCCAAACAAAATTGTTTGAAATTGTTGACAGATTTACCAAAGAGACCCTATTGGTGACGGCCGCAATAATTTGCTAAACAATCTCGAGCATGCTTATCAAACTATGAGGAGAAAACAGTTATTTTGACTTTGGTACTGTGAACTGTGAACAACAAATGTTTTTTTTTTCTGTTGTTAATTGTAGTTAATTGTTTTCATTTCATTTGTTTGTGGACACATCAGCATCTGTCTGCCAAACTGGTTTCGGTAACATCCACTGGTCAAGTTTTATTTCCTTTGATAAGTGTACTCGAAACATTTGAGAACGTTTTGTCAGCCTCACCCAACTTGATTTGGACATATTGTCTTACTAAACCTAACTCAGAAATTCTTTGAACTTGGACCCTTTATTGGTCCCTCTGAACAAATAAACAAAAAAACAATTAAAATATAATTTTCCATATATAAGTTTCAATTTGTATCATATTTGATAAATCGGGTCACAATGCTCAAAGACAAGTTACATATCTAGTTTTTTACTCTAAATGTACCAAATTATGTATTTTAAAAATAAAAACACGTATGTATGTTGCTTGATGTTATATATAATACATGAAATACAATAAAATGTCAATTGACTGATTTAGAGTTACGCTCCATCTCTAACATTCTTCTACCAATGTATCCACTGTCCCTCCTCTGCACATGTCCAAACCATCTCAATCTGGCTTCTCTAGCTTTTTCTCCAAACCTTCCTGTCTGTGTTGTCCCTCTAATGACCTCATTCCTGACCCTGTCCATTCTTGTCACTCCTAAAGAGAATCTTAGCATCTTTAACTCTGCCACCTCCAGCTCCTCCTCCTGTCTTCTGCCTATTGCTACTGTCTCTAAACCATACATCATGGCTGGTCTCACCACTGTCCTGTAAACCTTTCCCTTCACCTTAGCTGACACTCTTCTGCCACCGATCACTCCTGACACTTTTCTCCAGCTGTTCCATCCTGCCTGTACTCTATTCTTCACCTCTCTTCCACAGTCTCCGCTGCTCTGAACAGTTGATCCTAAGTACCTAAACTCCTGCACCTTCACCACCTCTGCTCCTTGTAGCCTCACTATTTCACTGTTCTGCCTTTCGTTTACACACATGTACTCTGTCTTGCTGCGACTGACCTTCATTCCTCTTCTTTCTAGTGCAAACCTCCACCTCTCTAGGTTCTCTTCTAGCTGCTGCCTACTCTCACTACAGATCACAATGTCATCTGCAAACATCATAGTCCATGGGGACTCCTGTCTGACCTCATCTGTCAATCTGTCCATCACCACAGCAAACAAGAAGGGGCTCAGGGCCGATCCTTGATGTAGTCCCACCTCCACTTTGAAGTCTTCTGTCCTCCCAACAGCGCACCTCACTACTGTTGTACTATTCTCATACATGTCCTGCACCAAACTAACATACTTCTCTGCCACTCCTGACTTCCTCATACAAAACCACAATTCCTCCCTTGGCACTTTGTCATATGCCTTTTCTAGATCTACAAATACACAATGCAGCTCCTTCTGACCTTCCCTGTACTTCTCCATCAACATCCTCAAGGCAAATATTGCATCTGTGGTACTCTTCCTAGGCATGAAACCATACTGTTGTTCACAAATCTCCACTTCCTGCCTCAACCTAGCTTCAACTACTCGTTCCCAAATCTTCATTGTATGGCTCATCAACTTTATCCCTCTGTAGTTGTTACAACTCTGTGCATCACCCTTCTTATGAATTGGCACCAGAACACTTTTTCTCCACTCATCAGGCATCTTGCCAGTCTCTAAAATTCTGTTAAACAAACCAGTCAGGAAATTTACTGCCACTTCTCCTAAACACTTCCATACTTCCACTGGTATGTCATCAGGACCAACTGACTTTCCACTCTTCATCCTCTTCAGGGCTTTTCTAACTTCATCCTTTCTAACCTGATCTACCTTCTTCCTACTAGTCTCTGGCTCCTCGTTTCTACTTTCCCTTTCATTTTCCTCATTTAACAACTCCTCAAAGTATTCCTTCCATCTTCTCAGCACACTTTCCTCACTTGTGATCACATTCCCCTCTCTGTCCTTAATCAACCTCACCTGCTGCACATCCTTCCCAGCTTGGTTTCTCTGTCTCGCCAATCTATACAACTAGTCTTTTAATTGGCCTTGGCCACTTTCTTCTTCACCTCCCTTGTCCCCTCTTTGTACTCCAGTCTGTTCTCTTCTGTTCTGTCACTGTCCCATCTCTTCTTCGCTAATCTCTTTCTCTGCACACTCTCCTGGATCTCCTCATTCCACCACCAGGTCTCTTTGTCCTCCTTTCTCTGCCCAGAGGACATACCTAGCACCTTCCTACCTGTCTCCCTCATCACTGCAGCTGTAGTCTCCCAATCATCTGGGAATATCTCAACACTACCCAGAACTGCCCTTACTTCCTTCCTGAAGTCTTCACAACATGTCTCTTTCCTTAGTTTCCACCACTTGATCTTCTGCTCTGTCTTCACTCTCTTCCTTTTTGTCACCTCCATCGTCATTTTACACACTACCATCCGATGTTGTTTGGCTACACTCTCACCTGCCACCACCTTACAGTCTCTAATCTCCCTCAGATTACATCTTCTACATAGAATATAATCTATCTGTGTGGACCTGCCTCCACTCTTGTAAGTCACCCTATGTTCCTCTTTCTTTTGGAAATATGTGTTTACCACAGCCATTTCCATTCTCTTTGCAAAATCTACCACTGCCTGTCCTTCTACGTTTCTCTCCCTAACACCAAACCTGCCTATCACTTCCTCATCTCCTCTGTTCCCTTCCCCTACATGACCATTTAGGTCTGCTCCAATCACCACTCTCTCTCTCCTGGGGATACTCTCTACCATCCAATCTAGCTCCTTCCAGAACTTCTCCTTTTCTTCCAACTCACAGCCCACCTGTGGGGCATAACCACTAACAACATTAATCATCTCTCCTTCTACTTCTACCTTCACACACATCAACCTGTCTGACTCTCGTTTCACCTCTACTACATTTCTTACATATTCTTCCTTTAGGATCACCCCTACTTTGCATATTTGATTTGGCTAAAAGTTTTACGCCGGATGCCCGGGATGTATGATAACAAAACAAAGAGGACTAAGCTGTTATTTTTTATTATTATTATTTCTATGTGGTCCTGTGATAAAAGAATATATTCAAACTTTCATTCAATATATATATATATATATGTATATATATATATGTATATATATATACATATATATATATGTATGTATACAGTGAAACCTCGGTTTTCGAATTTAATTCATTCCTGAAGGCCAATATAATATATTGAATGAAAGTTTGAATATTTTGAATGAACCCTGAATATATGGAATGAAAGTTTAAATATATAGTATATAATAAAACTTGAAGCCTTTTTGACCACACTGCCCCAATCGGGGCGGAGCTACACCTGCTGCATCGGAGTTTCCCACGACAGCCCCTGTATACAATCCATCTGTACAGAAACGGCCCAAAATTATTGAAAACTAGACTAGAACTCGCAGTAGAGTGCCTATAAAGGTATAGCCGCTATAGGTATCTTAGTTTAGATCTCCACCAGACATGTAGGGGTAGAGCGGAAATATTCCGAAACATCAGTGCCATAATTGCAATGTGATGACCATAAAAATAAAGCATAATATTGTCGATAAATACGAGCTTGGTGCCTGCTAAAGAAAGAATACAAATAAAAAAAGAAAAAAAAAGAAAAAGAAAAGTGAATTAAGTTAATTCTAAGTTTATGTAAGTTACGTAGTGTACGTGTAAGTTATGCTACGAGTTAGCCCGTACAAGTGTCTACTTACATACGGGCCAACTCTCGTCCCTCCCTCCCTCCCTGCCTCCTTCTCCTCCGCACATGCTGCCATTAGCCGCTACTGTATTGTCTGTCTCGTAGGTAAGAACTCAGTTAAAACCACTTTTTATTTTATATCACAGGAATCCTTATATACTATCACTTTTTGTGTGTATGTCTCTATAGCAAACATGTTTTTTCGATTGTTATTAGTGCTAATAACAATTTTTAGAGGGCCGTATTAATTTTCTTTTTTCCATTGTTATTAGCGCTAATAACGATTTTTAGAGGGCCGTATTCATTTTTTGTCCTGTTATTTCTTATGGGAAAAAATGATTTGAGGTTCCACTGTATTCAAACTTTCATTCAATATAGTGAAGTATTAATTTCCCGAAGTGTCCGTGTCCTGTTATTATATATATATATATGTGTGTGTGTGTGTGTGTGTGTCTGTGTGTGTTTATATGTAATTGCAAGTTGAAGCAATCCTGTGAACATTTAAGCTAACATTTATGCTTATAAAGGGGACATGTTGAGTGAAACATTCATGTCAATTAATATCATTTCTTGCTGTCTAAATACAATGTTAGTAACATGTTTTGATGAAAAAAAAAAACCCAACCAAAAACAAATAAACAAAAACAAAGGAATGAACACAGCCTTATGTGTGGTAAGTCAAAGCTATGGTTTAATACTCGTTCCTTAGGTTGCTTAGGTTCCTTAATCTAGTGTCATCAGATTAACATTAAGTCCATCTTTCCAGTTGGAGAAACTGATGATTAGATGGGAAAATCCACACCACTGTACACAAAATACTTTCTCTTTTGTGGAGAGAACTGGAGAATGGGGTTCAAGAGTGGACTAACAAAACTTTTATAGTGCAGGTGTCAAACTTAGACCCACGGGCCAGATTTGACCAACGGTGTAATTATAGATGGTTGTTCCAGATTGAATGTTTGCCCAAAATTAAAGTTTGTTTCCGCATAAAGAAAATCACATTACATATCTGGAGAGAAGGGAAAGCATGCACATTTGTTCCAGATTGAATGTTTGCCCAAAACCTAAAGGTTGTTTCCGTATAAAGAAAATCAACATTACATATTGATTTTGGCCGACGACTTCGTCCCAGTTTTGAATTTTGGCCCATTGCAAATTTGAGTTTGACACTTGTTGTTGTACAACCTCACCCATTGTCCACCTTTAAAAGTTACAATTCATTACTGTAATACTGAAAACAAAAAACATGGTGTTTCAAATTACTATGTTTTCAGAATTTTACCTGATAAGTCAAAATGATAAGGATATTTAAATTTATAATTCATCAGACACATCAAAAGTTGTTTACCATGAAAATTTTCTACATTAGATACCCAAATATTTTCAGATATTTCCTGTGACCATTATCTGGTAGACAAGGTTGGGTGTATGTTTTTATTGTTTTTATATGTTTTTATATGTTTTTTATTTTAATCAATTTTCTTTGTTTTTTTTTTAAAATGTCTACTACTTAAAGTTTGAGAGACGGATGAGACTACTTGCAGGAAAAGTCCTTCCTATGGCACTTGTACAATACCATGCTTATGATGCAACATCTCTCTCAATAATAAGAAAGTAAACAAATGGGAATTCATAGTGGACCTCCCTTTAGGTCTTTAATAATAATAATAATAATAATAAACATAGCTTTGACATTACATAGGAAAAGCTAGAATGAAACTGGTAGGCAAACCAATCAGGGCAGGTCGCTTGGTATAGCGTGCCTTCGATCGTACGCAGTGTCATCACTCTCTTCGTCATCGCTTACTTTAAAAAAAAACCTCTCCTCTTCCTCCTCAGGTTCACTTTCTCCTCTCAGCTGCCTTTGCTCCCTGTCTTTCTCTCTGTAGCAACGGGGCAGCATGGGAATCTGAAGAGCGAAAGACAAATAAATGCAACCAAAGTTAATAACATGAGTTGTACTTAATGACCAACTAAATTTTACAAAGGGACTTTGCTTTTTTGAGGCAATGCTTACTAAACCTTTGAATGATTGCTATTTTTTCACATTTACATATACCAGCTGCATCTGCTGCCTTTGTTATTCTTTTTTGGCTGCAGTTTTTGGCCAGTGTGACAGAGCGTACTTTGCCACTTAAGCCATCAGCAAGGTTTCATTGATCATGCCCAGAAGGCAATCTCCAGCCTAACCTTCGGCATGATTTGTAGGTATATTATACATGGCTCTATCTATATCTTAACAATATATGGTGTAAATAGGATATTGTTAACTTTGACAGAAAAGCTGGACTAGAAGGAATATTGACAAGATCTCTCCCCAACTGTAACATGCGTATTAACAAGGTAAGCTACGTTGGGTTACAGGTCCTCATAGCAAGACTTTGTTTTACAATTCTTGGAGCAGGTTAGATTTGGTCCTAGCTCAGGTGCTCTTGTCACTGATACAGCTTTTCTGGGCCACCTCATAAGAGGGTGTGAAACAAAGTTGCCTTGGAATACCATCAGTTCATTTTTGCAGATTATATGGCTCCAGGCTTTGTCGACAAATGAACTTCAAATTACACTGGGGTGTTTTTGTAGATGGTTGGCAACCTGGTGTGGGCATATGTCCACTGTTCACAGCTGAAGATGTAGGTAAGACATGTGACTGAGGTAAGCATTCTGACATGTATTGCTTTGTAAGTCATGACAGACAGATGTGGCAGAGCGAATCCGGTAACGTTTCAAAATAAAACATAGTTCAGAATCAGATAACAAATAAAACAGAAATAATGATATGCATTGTTTTCCGTTATCCCCAGTACCAATTGACCCACGGTGCAGTGCCGGTCCGCGAGTCATTTGAACCACTGCCCTAACACACACCTTCTGCTCGAAATAACATCTCGCAAACATGCTCGGGGATGGTATGAAGACCCTACTGTGAGCTAACTAAGTCCCATTGCCAAATGGATTGCGAAGGTCTGTAGGTTAGTGTTTTGGTCTGCTTTGAAAGCTTCACCCAAGCTGTCAAAGCAGAGCTCAACAC